CCCCTCTATACTATATCCTTCCCTAACTGTCCTCACCCCTGTATACTACCTCCACCCCCTCTATACTATATCCTTCCCTAACTGTCCTCACCCCTGTATACTACCTCCACCCCCTCTATACTATATCCTTCCCTAACTGTCCTCACCCCTGTATACTACCTCCACCCCCTCTATACTATATCCTTCCCTAACTGTCCTCACCCCTGTATACTACCTCCACCCCCTCTATGGTATATCCTTCCCTAACTGTCCTCACCTCTGTATACTACCTCCACCCCCTCTATGGTATATCCTTCCCTAACTGTCCTCACCCCTGTATACTACCTCCATCCCCTCTATGGTATATCCTTCCCTAACTGTCCTCACCCCTGTATACTACCTCCACCCCCTCTATGGTATATCCTTCCCTAACTGTCCTCACCCCTGTATACTACCTCCATCCCCTCCTATATCCTTCCCTATCCCCTCTGTCCTATATCCTTCCCTAACTGTCCTTGTCCCCACCTCTGTCCACCCCCTCTACAGTATATCCTTCCCTAACTGTCCTCACCCCTGTATACTACCTCCACCCCCTCTATACTATATCCTTCCCTAACTGTCCTCACCTCTGTATACTACCTCCATCCCCTCTATACTATATCCTTCCCTAGTTGTCCCGACCTCTGTCCCCACCTCTACACTATATCCTTCCCTAGTTGTCCCCACCTCTGTCCACTCCCTCTACCTCTCCCCACCTCTGTCCACTCCCTCTACACTATATCCTTCCCTAGTTGTCCCCACCTCTGTCCACTCCCTCTATACTATATCCTTCCATAGTTGTCCCCACCTCTGTCCACTCCCTCTATACTATATCCTTCCATAGTTGTCCCCACCTCTGTCCACTCCCTCTACAGTATATCCTTCCCTATTTGTCCCCACCTCTGTCCAATCGCTCTACATTAAATTCTTCCCTACTTGTCCCCACCTCTTTCCACTCCCTCTATACTATATCCTTTCTAGTTGTCCCCACCTCTGTCCCCACCTCTACACTACATCCTTCCCTAGTTGTCCCCACCTCTGTCCCCACCTCTACACTATATCCTTCCATAGTTGTCCCCACCTCTGTCCCCACCTCTACACTATATCCTTCCCTAGTTGTCCCCACCTCTGTCCACTCCCTCTATACTATATCCTTCCATAGTTGTCCCCACCTCTGTCCACTCCCTCTACACTATATCCTTCCCTAGTTGTCCCCACCTCTGTCCACTCCCTCTATACTATATCCTTCCATAGTTGTCCCCACCTCTGTCCACTCCCTCTACACTATATCCTTCCCTAGTTGTCCCCACCTCTGTCCCCACCTTTGTCCACTCCCTCTATACTACATCCTTCCCTAATTGTCCCCACCTCTGTCCACTCCCTCTATACTATATCCTTCCCCAGTTGTCCCCACCTCTGTCCCCACCTCTGTCCACTTCCTCTATACTACATCCTTGCCTAGTTGTCCCCAACTCTGTCACCACCTCCACACTATTTCCTTGCCTAGTTGTCCCCACCTCTGTCCACTCCCTCTATACTACATCCTTGCCTAGTTGTCCCCACCTCTGTCCACTCCCTCTATACTACATCCTTGCCTAGTTGTCCCCACCTCTGTCCACTCCCTCTATACTACATCCTTGCCTAGTTGTCCCCACCTCTGTCCACTCCCTCTATACTACATCCTTGCCTAGTTGTCCCCACCTCTGTCCACTCCCTCTATACTCCCTCTATACTACATCCTTCCCTAGTTGTCCCCACCTCTGTCCACTCCCTCTATAGTATATCCTTCCCTAGTTGTCCCCACCTCTGTCCACTCCCTCTATACTATATCCTTCCCTAATTGTCCCCACCTCTGTCCCCACCTCTGTCCACTTTCTCTACACTATATCCTTTCCTATCCTGTGGTATCAATGTAATTGTTAGCCTCTTTCTGTGCTTCCTTATGTGATATATCACAACTTCTCCATCATAAGGTGTTTTGTTACCTCTGAACAACTCTACTGCCGTTTAATTCACTTTATTCTCAAAGCGATTGTGTGCTGTCAATAATTGTAATATATAATGAAAGACAGGATGACAGTTGTTGTCAGATCCTTTCTAATAGATCTCTTCCCATGGGACCATTGACAAAGTTTTAGTGATAAATATAGACATATATTGGTGGCTTTCTCAGAGCTAGGAGGTATTCTGCTTGTCAGAAATTTGGAGTTTCGTACAAGTCCTGCCAATAGAGTGTCCCGGTACTGTTTGATGAAATGCACAGATACATTACACATTGTGCGAAATTGTGTTATCTTGTGATGGAACGTTAGAATATCAAAGATAGGAATGGTATCTGACTGTGGGCTGTCACCAGCCGTTATGAATCAGAGGCACAATACTTTTGTGTAGCTTTGATTCTGTCAGTGATGTAACTATGAGATTGATATTAGCCTATGTCAATTTCAAAAAGAAAAACTGATCCAAGTTTTGATTATACATATACAAGTCTTAATGATAACTGGGTCAATATGATGGCCTTGAACTGATCATCAACCTTACAGAGAGTGTTGAAAACTTCTAAACAGTGTGAAATCTTGTCTACACTTCTTTAACATCCTTGTCACCCTGATCCTAATGATATAAATCCTCGGGGCATATCAAACAGAAAAATAAATTATACTTGATAATATTTGGTAATCTTTATGCATCAGTAATCCTTCCATACTTTAGCTGGTGTCAATTACGGTGGACCCTCGATAATACGGACACCTTCCTTCCCATTCAAAATGGTACAGATTACGAGTTTTCTGCACTGCCAGGGTTGTGTAAGTCAACCAATACAACCAGATACCTCGGCCATGATTATATATAGAAAATAAGACCAGATACCTCGGCCATGATTATATATAGAAAATAAGACCAGATACCTCGGCCATGATTATATATAGAAAATAAGACCAGATACCTCGGCCATGATTATATATAGAAAATAAAACCATTAATAGGAAGAATGCTGTCGGTTGTTACAACAGTTATTGTGAATACAAGTATTGATCAGTGTCTTTCATTGTTTAATATTGTTTCATTTTCATAAACAATAGTAAATGCATTAAAATTCCCAAAGTAGATTGTTGTCATTCGTTGTAGTTCAAAATTATACATTTTTTTCATTAAGGGAGAGCATTTAGTCGCTGTTTTGTTCATCCATCCCTCTGTCCGTCGTAATTTTGTGCGGAGCATAACACAAAAACTATAAGAGGTATAAACATAAAACTTCATAGGTAGATAGATCACAACGAGGAGAAGTGCAGTGCACAAGAACCAACACTCTTTTTTGCATAAATTTACATTTATTGCCCTTTGTTATTTTTCATACTTAAATTTTTTCCAGTGTATTACACTAAAATTATAATAGGTATCATTATGAAATGCCATAGTTAGATAGATCTCAATGATAAGGAGTGAATTGCACAAGAATAATAACTCTCTTATTGCCCTTTGCTATTTTTCATTCTGAAATTTTGTCCCATTTGGGGAGTCTCTGACAACCCTTGTTAACTTTACTCACAACTGACTGATATTTATATCCTAGTTAATATAAACATTCAAAATCATGTGAAATATGGAACAACTCATATTAAATAGTCATGTATAATATTCAGAATTAATTGTCAAACATAAACAAGACGAGATCTAGACTTAATCTTGGATATTTTCCTTACAATTATTTGATTTTGTCCTATATATAGAAGTACAGTTAATTCTGATATGAGTTCCAATGATCTACCTGTCAGTAGTATAGTTGCTATGACTACACACAGTGTCTAGTGGTAAGCTGTACACCTCTGGCACAGGTGACTGAACACAATGTCTTTTCTTAAGCTGGTAACAAAAAATGTTGGGACTATTATGGGAATATTTCTATCAAAAGTTCTTTCCATTTCCATGGAACCAGAATTTGAATTCCAAAACTGGTGAGTAATTTTGATATTATGGAAATCTGTTTCCTAAAATTTCCATCCAAATAGTGAGTTTTTGTGACTATTAGACATCTGGATTACCTCATGTAAGTACATGTATTTCATATCTTGTCTTTTCATGGCTAGGTGTACAGTTGTCACAGAAAGTAGTTTTCTCCTGCCTTTACCATTTCAGTAGAGGAAATGGTATGTTAAATGATCATGGAGGTAGGTCCATACTCAAACATGCAAGTGAGGACCTGCTTAATGTTGTCGCCACAAACATGACAACAATATACCTCCAGAATGCATTCTGACATACATGTGTGTGATGGTATTAGCTAGAAGTATTATAGTCAATCATCACCAAAAGAAATGCAGATTAACTAAGTTGCTTTGTCTCAGTTTTTCCAAGAAGTCAAGTTGTCACTTCATCTTTATTTAACCTCACGTTTTTTTTGACAGTTTTTCAAGTTCAACTCCATTTATAGTCATTCTTTTTGAATAAGCCTTATGTAAATTTTAATATTGAGTCATGCGTGCTAATGCAGCAGGAAAACACGGATGAGGAAACTGACACAGAGTATAAGAGCTAAACACAAAGTCATGATAGAGTCTATACTCAATCTTATTTGGTAAATTATCGTGACATGAAATATTGCTCTGTGTCGTCCCAGCAGTGAGTGTTGAGAATGACATCTCTTACAAGCTTTATATGGCACAGATCAGATCCTAGTTATCAATATTGGGAAGTGAGCGGGCTGACATGACAGGCAAGGCCACACACCAGCAGTGTCATGTCAGGGAAACGTAACTCTATTACCACTGTCTAACATTTAACAAGAGAACATCCCTATGGAATCACCTCCCTGTCTTCATTAAACGCAGGTGATGCATTTTGTAACTACTTTTTTTAACCTTAACGCGAACAATGAGTGTTCTTAAAAACTTGAAAAGCCCTTTACTTTTAAGTGTGTTTTGCAGATATTGATGATATGGATACACGTGATTAATCAAGGACATCCATGTTTTTCATTTCAGAACTTCCTTGACGCTTTTACTGATGCTGCCGAAACAGTGTACGGCTGCTTATTGGTGGAGGGCAAAGTTTCTGTGGCAACTAAAAAGTGGTGGAGCTTGACGGCCAATGAACTTGTCCTGCTGCGAATGTTGGTCTCATCAATGTCTGACTGTACATCACGTGATCTTCCTGTATATTTGCCCGATAGTCATCCAACTGTAAGTTGGTCATTACAGGTCAAGTTCCAGGTTCATTCCAAAATAGGTTGATTGAAAATATTGTTATGTTTTTAGGTGGTAAAAACTATTATGTCATAAATAAGTATTGCAACTTGGAGACATTTTTGTCAAGAAGCAAATTTGAATGAGCCACCTACTGCCAAAATATAACTTCTAATTGACTTTTCATTTGTTACAAGTGATTGTTATAGGTTCCTCATCACCTGATGACCTTTCACCTATTATCACTGATTTTTATAGGTTTCCAGCGACCTGATGACCTTTCACCTGTAACAATTCAATGTTATGGGTTCCTCATCATCTGACGACCTTTCACCTATTATCACTGATTTTTATAGGTTTCCAGCGACCTGATGACCTTTCACCTGTAACAATTCAATGTTATGGGTTCCTCATCATCTGACGACCTTTCACCTATTATCACTGATTTTTATAGGTTTCCAGCGACCTGATGACCTTTCACCTGTAACAATTCAATGTTATGGGTTCCTCATCACCTGATGACCTTTCACTTGTTAGAACTGATTTTTATAGGTTTCCAGTGACCTGATGACCTTTCACTTGTAATAATTGATTTTTATAGGTTCCTCACAGCTTGATGACCTTTCACCTGTCATGACCAATACTTGTATGCTCCTCATCATTTGACATTCTTTCACCTTTGATAATTGAATGCCCTAGGTTCCTCATCGTCTGATGACTTTTCACCTGACCAAGCGTGTTGAAGTTTGTGTTATCTGTGGCCCGTCTCCAAACCTTGCAGACCTGGAGCCTGAGGTGAGTGTACTATAAACCTGTGTACGATGACATACCTTTCTCAATCTTAGAAACTAACAACCCTGATATGGTATGTTAATCTTGAGTACATTGCTGAAAAAGGTCTCAGTTCTGACTTACTGCAATCACCTTTTTCCAGCCAACATATGTGATTTATTATGTGCCCATGGACCTAATATAGTGAGTTATTTCCTTTTGTTGTATGCTTTTTCGCTGAACATACATACCAGTACATGGTGTAAAACTTTTAGAGTTCCAGGGTTAATATTTAGTTCCCTATTTTAGGAAATCCATGTCTGTGCTCTAGTAGCTTCATTTCTAAAGGGATTTACCAGGTAGATTCAACTTTAAATACTTTTGAAGGAACATAACATCTTAAGCAAGTTTTAGATTCAGGTTGCAGAGTCTAGGTCAAGGTCACTGTTACTCTTTTTGTAAAATCCTTGTCAGCATTCTCATGGCTTCATTTCTGGAGGAATTTTGATCAAACTTCACACACTTGACCATCTTTTTTATTTGACAAATGTCAAAGTGGAACCGCAAGGAGATTTTGTATCATTTGTGGTGCCTTGTTAACATATTAATGACTGAATTAATCAGATTTCTTGACATTGTATGATAGCTCTCCAAAGTTCTAAAGTAATCTTGTTCAAGTCAACCACATTAACTACTCTAACTTTTTACCTCACTATCGTCTCCTGAAGCCAGTCCCTGGTCCATCCTCAGTCGTCCATCCTCAGTCGTCCATCCATTGGCAGTCTGTAAACATTTTTTATCATCTCTATTTCTTGGAAATCACTGGAGGGATCTTTCTCAAATTTCATATGCAAGTTAACATTGGTCCATATTTGTACCCCTCATTTTGAACGTTATCAAAAAACAAAATGGCTGACAGACGGCCAAACTTGATTTCTATGATAAACAATTTTTATAGCTATTTCTTGAGAAGTACAGATTTGATCTTTCCCATAGTTCATATTTAGGTTTCTTTTTACCCCACAGCCCGAAAGGGTGTAGGGTATTGCGATCACGCACGGCGTCCGTCCGTCTGTCCGTCCGTCCGTCCACAATTGCATACCGCTTATTATCTCAATTTCTCTATTTCCACTCACCCCAACCACACATTTCCAACTTTATAATAAGGCTGTAGGGTATTGCCTGCGTTTGCGGACCTATTTTTGTCCCTTGTTGTATCCATTTGATTTTGGGATAGATCAGAAAAAAAATGGCTCACAGGTAGCCAACTTCGATTTTGACTATGAAAGTTTGTTATTGCTGGTTCTTGTGAAGTACTGGATGGATCTTTCTCCAATTTTACAAATAGGTTACCCTTTCAACCTTGTTGTGCCCTCTTGAACTTTGGAAGTGATCTGGTGACCATGTTGGATTGGATAGTTCAAGATTGTTATCACTATTTCTTAAGAGGAATTTAAAATTTCATGTAATTGAGAGCAAAAGCAGAAAAGAAGGGAAAAGCTCCAACTCTTATATCATACTTAAGTTTATGCTTATAGATTTAATTTTTGTAAGATATAAATTTATAACAAGAATGATTACATGATAAAAAAAACATTAAAAGTTTATACAACAGTTGATATTTTATTTCACAAAAAAACTGAAGTTCATTTTTTCAAATGCTCCTCTCAAAGCATTGAAAATAAGTGTGAATGATATACCATTAAGTACATGTGTCCTCTTTATTGGGTCGTTGGTGAGACATAAATTCCTGAGTAAGTACTTGTCCCAGTTACACCGCACCACAACGTAGATCAACGTCACTTAAGTGCTGTTTAATAACTCTGTGTGACAAAATTATTGAAATATATAATGAATGGTGTGTTTAGTTGTTCTATCTATACTGATCCCCAGTGATGTCTTATTAGTACTCATGTAGCTAAAATACACATAAATTTTTCCCTTCAATCCAATTAAATTTTATTTCAAAAGAGATAATTTTCAATTACGTTGATTCCAGTGTATGTTTTAATGGATAGAACTGAATGATCACCTGTTTCTCGTAGCAAGGATTGTTACTTTATGATCTGGTGAAATGGCAGCTGTAATTTGTATTGTTCCATTGTACGACTGATAAATAGCCTATCAGTGAACAGTTTTTGTTAGTTTTGTATCGTAGAAATTAGTGTGATCTTTCTACAAATTCATGAAGTTATGAATGATCCTTTAGAAATACATGTTGTATTAAAGTACTAATCACAAACCAAGATGGCTAACTAGGGACTACTTTTGAGTTAAAAGGCTGGAGTTTGTTGGCACTATTTCTAATCAGACATCGGAGGGCTATTCAGCAGATAAAGGGTTGGGCACTGTTTAGTCCAATACTTGTCTATCAGTTGTCTGTCCTCAAACAGTTCTTGTTATCTCTATTTTTGGAGTAGTGCTTCATGGATCATTCTCAAATTTCAAATGTAGATTCCCTGTGATCATTAGTCGTGCATTGTTCCCTTTCAAATTGATTGGAAATACAAAATGGCTGCCAAGCGATGATGTTGGATCTTTATGATGGTGGGCTATTTAAATCACCCTGCGTTGATGGTTCATTGTCTGTCAGTCCATCGCCAGTCCGTACATAAACAATTATTGTCATTGCTATTTCTTGAGGAGTACTCTCTCTCTCTAATTTCATATGTTGGTTCCCTTTGGTCCTTAGTTGATGGATTTGGGACTGATCAGAATAAAAGTGGCTTACTGGCAACCATCTTGGATTTGGCAAATTTCTGCATAGGAATGTTCAAATTTCTTATCATTAAGTGCAAAAAGAGAGAAGAGAAGAAAAAAGAAGGGAAAAGATTCAACTTTCAAAGATCAAATCAGTACCAAACAATGGTGGGTTCCAAGATCCTTCTGGGATCTCTTGTTACTGTTGTAATTTGTCATTAGCTGCTAATTGTTTATTTTGGGACTAGTCAGTAAAAAACAATATGGCTGACAGGCAGCCATTTCCAATTTTGACTATGAAAGTTTGTTATTGCTATTTTTTCAGAAGTACCAATTGATCTTTCTGAAATTTCATATGTTAGTTCCCCTTGGTCCCTAGTTGCATCCATTTGATTTTGGGATGAATAGTTAAACAAAATGGTTGACAGTCAGCCATCTTGGATTTATACAATCGAAGATTGTTATTGCTTTTTCTTGAGAAGTATGGAATGGATAACACAAATTCCACATGTAGGTTCCTCTTGGCCCCTAGTTGTGCCCTTGTGATTTTAGGATGATCATTTAAACATCTTGAATTAAACAATTGATCAATAAAACAAAATGGCCGACAGACTATTTCACTTTTTCTTGAGAGGAATAAAAATTTTGTATAATTAAGAGCAAAAACAGAAGAGAGAAGAGGAAGGAAAAACTAAAGATCAAACAATGGTGGGGGCCAAGACCCTTCTTGGATCTCTTGTTTGTTAGTAAGGATTCATGGTGTGCTTCAGATAACTTTTCACATTTAACAAATACCTAGACTCTGAATGAATGTATAAAGCCAGTAGGATGTTAGAAAGAACGGCCATCTCCATCTGAATGACCAAGGGTTCTCCTGTAACGATAATATTTGTGTAATAGGCTATTTGGGTTCAGGGTTGTAAACCTGGAGATCGACATTATTGACAAGACCAACTTTGCAGGCGATACCAAAAATTATATGTTAGTACCCTTTCTGGAAATTTTCAGTATAGTGAAAAAAAAATGTTTACCAAGGTCCATGTATTGTAAAGTTATTAAGCCATTTTCTTGTTATATGAATTTAAATTGACTGACCAGAAATGACATGAATGATAAAGAAAGCTGAGTAATACAGACCCCATGGTCCACTTTTTTTTTGTAAATTAAATTCCCAGACCATGGAAATGTAATTCTGTATCAATACATCAATGATTTGACTTTGTATCAATACATCAATAACTTGACATTGACTCTGTCCACACCCTACTTCTGATCTAAAATTAGCATGAAGAACCCCCGAACAAAGAAAATTCAAAATTATTTAAACAAAAGATGTGTCCAATGGGGGCAGATGAAGGAGTCCTTAAAGGGAAATATAGGGCATAATATAAGTGAAGGGATGTTTCTTTAATTTGGGACCTTTAGTGCCACATGGGGTTACATTGAAGGACAAAAATTGAATATTGGCAGGTTACATGACCTAATGAAAGACAAAGGTTGAATATTGTCGGGTTACATGCTCTAATGAAAGACAGAAGTAGAATATTGATGGGTCACATGACCTAATGAAAGACAAAGATTGAATATTGATGGGTCACATGACCTAATGAAAGACAAAGGTTGAATATTGTCGGGTTACATGCTCTAATGAAAGACAGAAGTTGAATATTGTCGGGTTACATGGACTAATGAAAGACCAAGGTTGAATATTGGCAGGTTACATGACCTAGTGAAAGACAAAGGTTGAATATTGACGGGTAACATGACCTAAAAAAAGACCAGGGTTGAATATTGACAGGATACATGACCTAATGAAAGACAAAGGTTGAATATTGATGGGTCACATGACCTAATGAAAGACAAAGATTGAATATTGACGGGATACATGACCTAATGAAAGACAAAGGTTGAATATTGATGGGTCACATGACCTAATGAAAGACAAAGATTGAATATTGGCAGGTTACATGGACTAATGAAAGACCAAGGTTGAATATTGGCAGGTTACATGACCTAGTGAAAGACAAAGGTTGAATATTGACAGGTAACATGACCTAAAAAAAGACCAGGGTTGAATATTGACAGGATACATGACCTAATGAAAGACAAAGGTTGAATATTGATGGGTCACATGACCTAATGAAAGACAAAGATTGAATATTGACGGGATACATGACCTAATGAAAGACAAAGGTTGAATATTGATGGGTCACATGACCTAATGAAAGACAAAGATTGAATATTGATGGGATACATGACCTAATGAAAGACAAAAATTGAATATTGATGGGTCACATGACCTAATGAAAGACAAAGGTTGAATATTGATGGGTCACATGACCTAATGAAAGACAGGTTGGATATTGACGGGTTACATGGACTAATGAAAGACAGGTTGGATATTGACGGGTTACATGGACTAATGAAAGACAGGTTGGATATTGACGGGTCACATGGCCAGACAATGGTAAGGAATATGATTTATTTCTATCCACCAACAACGGGTTTTCTATGTATATTTTTACCTTTTTTAAATAGGTTGTGAGATTCTGGAAAACAGCATACGATCCTCTTATATCTGTGTGTAGACTCCATCCAAGGAATTTCCCTGTCACTATAACCTTAGATCCAAACATCCTGGGGTAAGTATCATATAGTGTCTATATCATATCTGTGTGTAGACTCCATCCAAGGAATTTCCCTGTCACTATAACCTTAGATCCAAACATCCTGGGGTAAGTATCATATAGTGTCTATATCATATCTGTGTGTAGACTCCATCCAAGGAATTTCCCTGTCACTATAACCTTAGATCCAAACATCCTGGGGTAAGTATCATATAGTGTCTATATCATATCTGTGTGTAGACTCCATCCAAGGAATTTCCCTGTCACTATAACCTTAGATCCAAACATCCTGGGGTAAGTATCATATAGTGTCTATATCATATCTGTGTGTAGACTCCATCCAAGGAATTTCCCTGTCACTATAACCTTAGATCCAAACATCCTGGGGTAAGTATCATATAGTGTCTATATCATATCTGTGTGTAGACTCCATCCAAGGAATTTCCCTGTCACTATAACCTTAGATCCAAACATCCTGGGGTAAGTATCATATAGTGTCTATATCATATCTGTGTGTAGACTCCATCCAAGGAATTTCCCTGTCACTATAACCTTAGATCCAAACATCCTGGGGTAAGTATCATATAGTGTCTATATTGTTCGTATGTTAATGATATACTGAAAATAGAATACATAAGTTCTGGGAACCTCAGCCATGCTTGAAATTGTCAGAGAATTTTGAATCTGAGACTCACTGGGTTGATCTGATATGAAGTGAAAACAGAGATTTTATTTATCATATAATTGAAGTTTATAGCTTATTTATTTTTCTAAAATTCTCTATTTTCTTTGGCTAATTTAGAATCACAAACATCAACATCATGACTGCATGCCTTTTCACTGGTGACCTTACAGTGTATTGTAAGTTTGTGATGCTATAAACCTATGGCAAAGGACAATGACAAACCTACAGCCAGATCTATAAAGTGGTGTTCATAGTACTATGAATATCATGAAACTGATTACTTTGTTGTAACATGAATTCAATACTGATTTTTGTTTCTGTCAGATAATTACTTCTGTATTGGTTTTGTGAGACATAAGATTATGTCTTAATGCATTAGATAGAAAATTGCATGTAAAATGTATGAAATATAGCATTTTATGTTTAAATTGCAGCAAAAGTAACATTTTATAAATACATCGTACCAGATATGCTATTGTAAAATATATGACATTCCATAATTTTGAAATATGAAATTTTTAGAATATCATTATCAGAGTGTTGCTATTCATATCACCCTACGTCTGTGATCCATTGTCCGTCCAGCCATAAACAAATTTTCTTGTTGCTGGATGGATTTTTCTCAAATTTCAAATGTAGCTGCCAATTTGTCACTAGTTGTTTGATTTTGGGACTGATCAGAAAAGCAAAATGGCCAACAGACACCCATCTTGGATCTTTACAAAGAAAGTTTGTTTTTGCTGTTTCTTGAGAAATACTGGATGGATCTCTTTCAATTTCATATGAACTTTTCAAGAAATAGCGAAAATAAAAATTGTTTATGGAGGGAGGGACAGACCATAAACAAAGGGGGATTTGTATAGACCACAGTCTGATGACAGCATTTGCTGTAGTCAAAAAACTTATTGATCAATTTATAACTTTGTCAACAAGATTAAACAAAAGACACAAATGAATTGCATCTTTTGATACAAATTTAGATTTAAATAGAGAAGAGTAGAGTAGAAAAAACTGTAACATAGAGCTGTTTTGTCCTTCTAGACCTGTCTGTACATGCTTAGGGCCTTAACTTTGAAGCTCAGGAGGCAACTGAGGGAAATCAAAAGTGATTGAAAGAAAAGTCAACATCTACATAGGGAAGTGCACTAGCCCCATAATTCAGTAAATTAGGTAATTTTCCAATGTCTGATAATATTTGAACACAGTCAAGAACAAGTGTATATTCTGAACTGTGTCACTATTAGAATGAATTCAGACATTAAACAATATCTCTTTAGGCTTTAGCAAGTACAATAAAGCTTGGGTCTCCGTTTCTATAGCTGATACAAAAGATGTGGGCCCTTATCTCCTGCCTCATCATTCCAGTTATACAGCTAAAGGTAAATGACCAAACACTAGGCAATTAAATGTCCTTTCACCAATAAAGTGCACCGTCTAGTTGTCCCCAGTGTGTATGTCTGTCTGTACATTTACCTGCATAGTGGACTCTGACAAAGCACCATTATCTCTGACAACACGATTCAGCTGGGAGCCATACCTTGTTCTGTTAAGACTGTAGCTACACAGAAATCTAATAGAGTTGTGTGGTGGCCAGGAGATCTTACCCAGGAGTACACATATAAATGGATGTTGTAAAATATCCTAGATTTTGGACAGAGGAACATTATTGCAATACATGTTGTGAAATATTTTTTTTCTTTTGGAACAATTTCTTTAGGTTGGTAATGTCAATAGAATAGAAGTTCTTATAACACAACCAGTAGAAGATTAGAGTGTGACGTTTTGATGACTACATGGTCACCTTCATCAGAAGAATGACCAGTGTGGAGTGTACGGAACCGACCAACCTTTTTCGACTACACAATAATCTTATGTACACTGAGGTTGAAAACAATGTGACAATCTGTTTACCATCTCGTCACATGATTTTCAGTGTTATCTTCTGGTTGTGTTAAAAGATCTTCTATTCTTTTCTAATGTTGTGAAATGATTTTGAGAAGAAAAGGAAAACTTAGAACTGAAGGTTATTCTATATTGGATTAGTGGAAGATAATTCGAATCTATTCTTTCCTGTTTTTGTGAGAATGTATAATGGTAATCGATGAAGGTCATAAGTCAGAATCAAGGGAATGCTTACAATAGCGACAGATGAACATTTTGAAGTCTAAATCGAATGGTGAAAGACGAAGGTGGTAAAATCAGGCTCAGGGAAGTGCTTAGAATGATGAAAAATAATGGTGGTAAAGTCAGGATCAAGGAAGTGCTTAGAATGGATAAAGATGAAGGTGGTAAAGTCAGGATCAAGGAAGTGCTTAGAATGATGAAAGATGAAGGTGGTAAAGTCAGGATGAAGGTAGTGCTTAGAATAGTGACAGATAAAAGTGGCAAAATCAGGATCAAGGAAGTGCTTAGAATGGTGAAAGATGAAGGTTATAAAGTCAGGATCAAGGAAAAGCTTAGAATGGTGATGGATAAAGGTGATAAAGTCAGAGTAAAAAAATGCATAGAATCATGGCAGGGAAGATTAATGAAGATTATGGCAGGGAAGAGCCTAGGAAAGGTTTGACAGTAATAGGTCGAGAATGGAGTGTTGGAAGAAAATGCAATGTTACATAGCTAGGTGGAGGATATCATATTTTTAATATCTAGTGAAAATTTTCACTAGTCTTACTATACTTATGTTTCTCCATTGATGTACAGAGTTGTATTCAGTACAATTACTTATTATTTATATAACATATAACTTTTTTTTTGCTGCAGATTCCTGGTGGTAAATAGAGACACAAACAGAAGCCTTTGTAGTACAAGTCCTTCTCTAGAGGACAGGTCCACACTGGGTAAGTCACATACACAGGTCCTTCTCTAGAGGACAGGTCCACACTGGGTAAGTCACAAACACAGGTCCTTCTCTAGAGGACAGGTCCACACTGGGTATGTCACAAACACAGGTCCTTCTCTAGAGGACAGGTCCACACTGGGTATGTCACAAACACAGGTCCTTCTCTAGAGGACAGGTCCACACTGGGTAAGTCACAAACACAGGTCCTTCTCTAGAGGACAGGTCCACACTGGGTAAGTCACATACACAGGTCCTTCTCTAGAGGACAGGTCCACACTGGGTATGTCACAAACACAGGTCCTTCTCTAGAGGACAGGTCCACACTGGGTAAGTCACAAACACAGGTCCTTCTCTAGAGGACAAGTCCACACTGGGTAAGTCACAAACACAGGTCCTTCTCTAGAGGACAGGTCCACACTGGGTAAGTCACAAACACAGGTCCTTCTCTAGAGGACAGGTCCACACTGGGTAAGTCACAAACACAGGTCCTTCTCTAGAGGACAGGTCCACACTGGGTAAGTCACAAACACAGGTCCTTCTCTAGAGGACAGGTCCACACTGGGTATGTCACAAACACAGGTCCTTCTCTAGAGGACAGGTCCACACTGGGTATGTCACAAACACAGGTCCTTCTCTAGAGGACAGGTCCACACTGGGTATGTCACAAACACAGGTCCTTCTCTAGAGGACAGGTCCACGCTGGGTAAGTCACAAACATAGGTCCTTCTCTAGAGGACAGGTCCACACTGGGTATGTCACAAACACAGGACCTTCTCTAGAGGATAAGTCCACACTGGGTATGTCACAAACACAGGTCCTTCTCTAGAGGACAGGTCCACATTGGGTAAGTCACATACACAGGTCCTTCTCTAGAGGACAGGTCCACACTGGGTAAGTCACAAACACAGGTCCTTCTCTAGAGGACAGGTCCACACTGGGTAAGTCACAAACACAGGTCCTTCTCTAGAGGACAGGTCCACACTGGGTATGTCACAAACACAGGTCCTTCTCTAGAGGACAGGTCCACACTGGGTAAGTCACAAACACAGGTCCTTCTCTAGAGGACAGGTCCACACTGGGTAAGTCACATACACAGGTCCTTCTCTAGGGGACAGGTCCACACTGGGTATGTCACAAACACAGGACCTTCTCTAGAGGACCGGCCCACACTAGATCACATTTACTTCAGTAAGGCTTTTTGTGTATGTTACAGGAGATGGTCTGAACACTGCCCAGAGAAAGGAGGTACTACAATCCTTTTACAAGAAAGTCATAGGCTCATTCTTCTCCTCCAACATAGAGGGTAGTGAATTGGGTAAGTCCTGTACTGTTTTTATCTGACCTTCAAATTTCTGACATGACATATTGTGATGTATTTCGGAGTAGATCTTTTTCCACAGTTTAAAATCAATCTGTTTTATCACCATGACATGGATATGTATTTTACCGTAATGGCATTTTGATTCACCTGTATTTGGAAGAGTTATTGCCCTTTGATTTTTTAGCATTTTAACACTGTCCAGACATTTGTTTTCCATTTTTAATCAATATCTTTGGTACTTGATAGGTTTTATAACCATAATATGATACTGTGGTTTCGTGACAAGCATTATGATCCAGTAGCGTTTGGGAGAGTTACTGCTTTTGTTTTTCCCAGAATTTTAACCTTGTCCAGAGTTTTTTTTTCCCTGTTTCAACCCATCTCTTTAGTAACCAAAAAATTGAAGTGATATTTTCTCTCCTAGCATTTCCAATCCAGAATTTTCCAGAATGGCACTTTGATTCACCTATTTTTGAATGAGTTATTGCTCTTTGTATTTTGGCATTTCAGCCTGGTCTTTTTATTGATCTTTTCTAATCAGTCTCTTTTAAAATTGATAATTTTTGTCATCAAAACATGAGCACTTTTCCAAAATGACACAACATATTTTGGAAGAGTTATTGCCCTTTCTTCTTTCCAGCTCTTTGATCTTGTCTGTAGTTCTTTTCCCTTCAAACTAGGCTTTATTACAATGTGAATTGGGGCTTTCTCAGTGACATTTTGATTAAATAATTGTTTTATTTCCATATTGTATAAATATGTATTTCTCTTTGACATTGGATTAACGTATATTGTTCTGCCTGTTTTACTATTGTTTTCATTCATTAAAAACAAAGGATATTTGTGATATTGAAAGTATTCTTAGGTGCTTTTTTTTTAAGATACAGATTTTATCAATATTTAGTCTTGGAAGCATTTAAGAAGAGATAAAATGTACCTGATAAAGAGAAGTACTTCTCCCAAGCATGCCACTGAACAAATAGCATGACCTTACTAAACCTTCTGATTATTGAGAAAAAGTCTTTTGAATATTTAAACACATTTGACCCCATATGACATTCAAAGAGGGTTAAGGTCACTCATTTGAATTAACCTCTGGTCAAATAGCCAGACACTGGGCCTTCCTGTTATTGAAAAATATCTTCAGAAATTTTAACCATTTGACCTCTGGGACCTTGAAAGTGGATTAAAGGTCATTCAATTGACAATCTAGAAAGGCTTTTACTCCAGAATGCTTCTGACCAAATATCCTTTGATAGATTTTTAATAACTGTAAATTTATTTGAGAAGTTTTTGACGGTTTTAAGACATTTGACACCTGTGACCTTCAGAGTCCTTCTCCTAAGCATGTTATGAGCCAGATCACACGACCCTGTAACATTTGGTTATTAGGAAGAAGTAATTTGATGATACACTTTTTACCTCCGTCACTTTGATGATCACTCAAGGTCATTCAGGTTTCTTTTGTTTTTTTTCATAATCACATCATGACTTGATGACCTTATAACTTGTGATTGTTTGAGAAGTTTATGAGAGATGGCAAACAGATAGTCAGCAGGCAGATACAGGCATTGTTTTATATATATATATATATATGCCTATACATATCCAAAGGGGCAGGGTCACCTACAAGCATTGTTTCATTGCACCATCTGTAAACTTTTCATATCTAAATTTCTTGACAAGTGTCACCAGTAGGATTCAGCTCAGGCTTGCCATAAATGATCCTGATATTACCTTGATCCAGTATTTTTTCAGTGGGTCAGTTAAAAAATCAATATGATCCCCATCTAGAAAAAACACATTTTAAACTTCATATACAGTTTAACAAGAAAATTGCTGGAGATGTTAAGGAAAGATAAAAATTTCTTATATTTTGAATCTGTCAAAGCTTTGACATGGCAGCCACAGTGGCCATTTTGTAACAGGATTGCACTGTCATAATTTTTTGAAATGACACCTATTTTAAACTTCTCAAGCCTCACCAGTGGTATTCAGCTCTGACTTGCCAGAAATCAACTGAAGATAGTCTGGACAAAGTGTTGTTTATTTTTCAGGTTGGTCTGAAATCCCAGTGTAGCTTTATGCCATAAAGGACAAATAATCAAGCTTCTGCTTCAGTTCAACTGGTGCTAATGAACTGAAATTTTGTGGAAATTTTACAAACCGTTTAATAATTGTTTACACTAGCACTACTGCTGTTATTGGCAGGTCTTTACAGTCACATGACTGCCCATGGGCATCTTTTTGGATTGCTAAATCACACTACCATAAGATATTTTTGACTGATTTGAAAGTTTTAGTTATCTGTAATTTAATTTTACACAGTCACTTAACAGGAAATTTTAGGATTATCTCAGAATAAATGTCAGGTCAATTAATAGGTATTGGTGTATCGTAATAACCGATGCAAATAGTATTCAAAGGGAGGCAACTCTTGAAGTCTTGATATTATATGTAGTAAGCTTAGTAATGTAGTATATTTTCTAGTGATTGTTTGAATTGATGATTTATATTTATAAAGAGTTATGGTGATAGCAATGTGTACTGACTAACAGTTACAATGTTAGTATCCTATGATTAAGTGATCACACTTTTATACAACACAGGTCCCGGTGAATACAGTCACACACCTCAGGAGACATACATCACCACTGATATACACAAGTGTTACGCCGCCCAATCTGGCTCCTACCAGATCTTCATCCTGTATGCAGAGAGCATACCAACATATGCCATGAGGTAACAGTCCTACCTTAAATCATGTGTTTTATTGTGTAGTGCTTCCCCATAAAACATTACTGTCAAGGTCACAATGACCACAAACTCTCAAAAGTTAATCACTAGGACCACAAACACAAAGATTTTTCAAACCACGTTTTCCATGCAAAGTCTCAAGGTCAAGTAAATATAGTACATTTCTCTGTTTACCTTGTGTTCCTAAATTTCATGGATATACTGACTAAGAAGTCTTTGTTCATTTTGTTCCTGGATATGACAGGCAAAAACAAGTTTAAAATAATTCAATTAATTTTTGTTTTTTTATTCTTGAATGTGAATTAAAATCTTATTCATTAAAATAGTTGATTTAATTCCTTCAATTATAGATGATCTCGGTTATGTCCTGATTGAAACCAGAACTACTCTCTTTCATATCATAGTGTATTAAGCTCTGGTTGTAATCAGACTGAATTATGTGAAATGTTACATTTCGTGTTTCAGGTCAATCACACAAAAGACCCTGAATCTGCTCACAAAAGACAGACATGTTTGCATCTGAGGACCTGCCATATTGTACTGGGATACAAAGTGGAGCTATCTCACTGTACTGTGGTATGGAAGAGATCTACCACACTGCCTAGGAATAGAGTAGACCTGCCACTGTACTGTGCTATATAAGGGACCTACCACACTGTCCAGGAATACTCCCATTGTGCACTGTGATACTGAAGGGACCTACTATTGTCCAGGTGTAGAGTGAACCTACCATTGCGTACTGCGATATATAGGGAACCTACCACACTGTCCAGGGATATAGAGTGGGCATAGAATAGATCATGTTATGAGACACTATAAAGTGCAAAGGGGTGACTTCATTAACAGAAATATTTTACCATTAAATGGGTGCAGTGCAAGGTGGAAGTATATTTTACTATGGAGGTAAAGGAATCTCACAAGTCCAGGCGATGCAGGCAGGGATAGAGACCATGTGAATAAAGGTCACAGGTAACCTCACAGTCTTAGTTGTAACAAGTTCATAGGGGTAGTAGATTATGTCACACTGGGACTGGTTTCTCCAGAATTGGATATCTAGTCATCAACTACAGAACCGGGCCACAGAATGAGATACAGTACTAGGATACTATGTGTCAGATGTCCGTCACATCAGATACAGTACTACGATACTACGTGTCAGGTGTCCGTCACATCAGATACAGTACTAGGATACTATGTGTCAGGTGTCCGTCACATCAGATACAGTGCTAAGATACTACATGTCAGGTGTCCGTCACATCAGATACAGTACTAGGATACTACGTGTCAGGTGTCCGTCACATCAGATACAGTACTAGGATTCTACATGTCAGGTGTCCGTCACATCAGATACAGTACTAGGATACGTGTCAGGTGTCTGTCACATCAGATACAGTACAAGGATATTATGTGTCAGGTGTCCGTCACATCAGATACAGTACAAGGATACTATGTGTCAGGTGTCCGTCACATCAGATACAGTACTAGGATACTGCGTGTCAGGTTTCCGTCACATCAGATACAGTACTAGGATACCGTGTGTCAGGTGTCTGTCACATCAGATACAGTACTAGGATACTATGTGTCAGGTGTCCGTCACATCAGATACAGTGCTAAGATACTACATGTCAGGTGTCCGTCACATCAGATACAGTACTAGGATACTACGTGTCAGGTGTCCGTCACATCAGATACAGTACTAGGATACGTGTCAGGTGTCCGTCACATCAGATACAGTACAAGGATATTATGTGTCAGGTGTCCGTCACATCAGATACAGTACAAGGATACTATGTGTCAGGTGTCCGTCACATCAGATACAGTACTAGGATACTATGTGTCAGGTGTCCGTCACATCAGATACAGTACTAGGATACTGCGTGTCAGGTTTCCGTCACATCAGATACAGTACTAGGATACCGTGTGTCAGGTGTCTGTCACATCAGATACAGTACTAGGATACTACGTGTCAGGTGTCTGTCACATCAGATACAGTACAAGGATACAATGTGTCAGATGTCCATCACATCAGATACAGTACTAGGATACTATGTGTCAGGTGTCCGTCACATCAGATACAGTACTAGGATACTATGTGTCAGGTGTCCGTCACATCAGATACAGTACTAGGATACTATGTGTCAGGAGTCCGTCACATCAGATACAGTACTAGGATACTATGTGTCAGGTGTCCGTCACATCAGATACAATACTAGGATACTATGTGTCAGGAGTCCGTCACATCAGATACAGTACTAGGATACTATGTGTCAGGTGTCCGTCACATCAGATACAGTACTACGTGTCAGGTGTCATCACATCAGATACAGTACTAGGATACTGCGTGTCAGGAGTCCGTCACATCAGATACAGTACTAGGATACTATGTGTCAGGTGTCCGTCACATCAGATACAATACTAGGATACTATGTGTCAGGAGTCCGTCACATCAGATACAGTACTAGGATACTATGTGTCAGGTGTCCGTCACATCAGATACAATACTAGGATACTATGTGTCAGGAGTCCGTCACATCAGATACAGTACTAGGATACTATGTGTATGTGTCAGGTGTCCGTCACATCAGATACAGTACTACGTGTCAGGTGTCCATCACATCAGATACAGTACTACGTGTCAGGTGTCCGTCACATCAGATACAGTACTAGGATACTATGTGTCAGGAGTCCGTCACATCAGATACAGTACTAGGATACTATGTGTCAGGTGTCCGTCACATCAGATACAATACTAGGATACTATGTGTCAGGAGTCCGTCACATCAGATACAGTACTAGGATACTATGTGTCAGGTGTCCGTCACATCAGATACAGTACTACGTGTCAGGTGTCCATCACATCAGATACAGTACTACGTGTCAGGTGTCCGTCACATCAGATACAGTACTACGTGTCAGGAGTCCGTCACATCAGATACAGTACTAGGATACTATGTGTCAGGTGTCCGTCACATCAGATACAATACTGGATTCTATGTGTCTGTCACAAGATTAGATATCAAAGGATCAGATGGTTTCATGAGCAGTTTCCACAGAATTGAATATGAACAGAATGATAGTTTACAAGATAAAAGTGTTAGTTAATAACTTACTGTTATTGTTTTGTATCATTCATGGGCTTAACTTGTCTCAATTATACAACTACGACTGAACAATAAACATGTTTCTTTCAGCACTGTTATTTTGTTTTTTAATCCAATATAATATGGATGACAGGGCTCTGTATAGCATTAAATACCATCATTATAAGTAGAGCATCTTATCGTGTGTAGGGATATCACTGACAAACTTTTCTTATTCAATTCAAAAAGTATCAAACAAATCTACTACAGGTTCTCATTTTATGCATAGTATAATCATAACTTTTGAAGGTGGTTCAGTTTTGTATGAAATAAGATCACATACTGAAAGGAATCTTCTACAGATTTGAAAATATTAATCTTAAACTTTCAAATACACCAACTAACAGTAGAACCCTTGTATATATTTACAGAATTCACCATTACTTTGTTCACTAAGAACATTAAATGTCAAACACAATGAAATGAAGAACAAGATAGAGAGTGGTTCCAATTGAGTTGTATTGGTAAAATTATTACAATAATATACATGCAGCAGCTGATACACAATATGTACGAGTATTGAGAGCACACAGATAGGCATCCGACAAATCCTCACTGCAATGTGTTACTGGGATGTCACCAGTCTGACATAGATACAGAACCATACATAATTATGTAACTGATATAGCTTTTTTACATCACAAGATATAGCTTGTTTACATCACAAGATATAGCTTGTTTACATCACAAGATATAGCTTGTTTACATCACAAGATATAGCTTGTTTACATCACGAGATATAGCTCGTATACATGACAAGATATAGCTCGTTTACAACACAAGATATAGCTCGTTTACATCACAAGATACAGCTTGTATACATCACAAGATATAGCTCGTTTACATCACAAGATACAGCTCGTATACATCACAAGATATAGCTTGTTTACATCACAAGATACAGCTCGTTTACGTCACAAGATACAGCTCGTTTACAACACCAGATATAGCTCGTTTACATCACGAGATATAGCTTGTTTACAACACGAGATATAGCTAGTTTACATCACGAGATATAGCTTGTTTACATCACGAGATATAGCTTGTTTACATCACGAGATATAGCTCGTTTACATCACAAGATATAGCTTGTTTACATCACGAGATATAGCTGGTATACATCACAAGATATAGCTCGTTTACATCACAAGATATAGCTTGTTTACATCACGAGATATAGCTTGTTTACATCACAAGATATAGCTGCTACATGTTTAACAAGCTACTTTCACAGTGAAATATAGCTCTGTACAGTTGTACGTAAAAAGCCTGGAATCTTCTTAATCAAGAAATTCTCATCTCGGTACACTTTCTCTACAACCTTCTAAGAGTGTAGACAAGGTACAAAGTAGAAGTCTTGAATTTTGAAGCTGGAAGTCCTGACGTATGTAACACATTGCCAGCGTGACGAGTAGAATTTTACTGACCATGTTTCATGCCTAGGAAGCAGACTGGAATAGACTTCACACAAAGACACACATACCACCACTGCAAGTAGTTTTACTTTATTAAATGTCTGGACGAAAATGATATTTATAATGATAATATGTGATTGTACTGTCCAACGTATCAACATGTCCTCTCCCTTCTCCTTCCTTCCAATACTCTCACTTCCTACTTCTCTCTCTCTCTCTTTACCTTCTCATACTGCATTCATGTTGTACTACAATCCAATATCACATTAAGCGAAAGGCATATTCTCCCACTTGTTGGCCTACAATTAAGACAATTTACAACACAAATTAGACAATAACCCTATAACAAAAATCTTTTACTACTTCCGGCTTTTTACATTGCAACAATTTCCAAATATCATCTAGTTTGTTCTAAAGGATGAGCAAGATAGAAGGAAAGAGGATAAAGGAAATGACAGGAAATATCTGTTTAAAACAGACAGGAAATGCAAGGGAAGATTTTCAGAAAACAGGACGTGATAGAAAAGACTAAGGAAGCAGACATGAAACACTAAGAGAGATCTGTAGAAAACAGTAAATGATGGGAAAGAGACAGTAGTAATGCTGATAATCATTAAAACAAAACGGAATGTGGCAACAAGGGTTACACAGCAAGCGTGGAGACAGGGTTAAATGTCTATACAACTAAACAGTGTAAATAATGCATGTGTGTGACAAGTGACAATATCCCATCCATTACATTTCTGTAATTAAATCTTAACAGAAATACATTATCAATACACATCAATAATTTTAAATCAAATGTAATTGGTTACAATGGCTTACAATGTAATATTACATGTCTATATCATACATTTATAAAACCAGATCAGATACTGGGTACAGAAGAAATTGGTATCATGATATTTATAGGCAGCAGAAGCCAGGATTAAGGTGTTATGATTGAAGCCACAGTTTAAACAGGTGCATGTGAAATGGTTACTTGCATATTAATTTCAAAATATCAGATCTTCTACTGATGTGTATTGCTATAGTATATATGTACAGCATAAGAAAGCATAATCACAAACAATTAACAAGGCCTGTTTTGGACAGCTGGTAAATATATCAAGTAATGTGCAAACTATACATGTAGGTGCAATATTGCACCTAGGTTATCAACAGTCCTTAGGCTGTGAAAACTTAAAAACATTCAATCATATATCGTGACTGGTTGTAATCTTTCTTAGTGATTGGCCTTAATACTGAAATATACTTATTTTATCACAGGATTTGGCCAGGTCAGTTAAGATTCTCCATTTACTACAAATATTTCATCTCTTCTGTGTTGTAAAAAAAAAACTGACACAAAAACTCCTGGGATGAAGATCTAATCACTACATGCCTGTGAAAACACTTGAACGTGTGGCTACGTTGTGTTGAACTTTAACTTGTAAGTGAAGTTGATTGGCTGTTCCGCATCACCAGAATGTCTGTTGAGATACAATTGGGGATTTAGCAGAGGACAAAAAATAAACCTAGTAAAGTTACTATCAGACTTGATAAGCCTCTGCTATTGTTTGACTCTCACAGAACCAATAGAAAATAGATACAAGGTATACATAGGACTTTTGATTACATGTTCTAAATTCCTTAACAAGCACTGCTGATAATCCATTTCTCACCTTGATAAACAAAACAATCTTTACACAATAAACAGATCCAGATCTTCATATAGCACGTAAGACTGGCAATAAAGATATTGTTTGTAACCTTAATAACAATGATTTGGAGAAGTAACAAATTAACAATAGCACTATATCACATCAGAGTGATTTACATTGTAAATGTATATACTGCACCGCTATCTAATATGTATAAACAATATTAAATGAGTTTCAATTTCTTATAACATTTTATGAAACTTGTCTCAAAGTTTTTGTTTTCGCTCACCTATGCTTGCAAAAATAATATGGAAGACAAAAATGAAATAGAGGCAGCCATTTGTTGTGTCTTTCAATTCACAAAGTAACATCAGTGTCCGTATCACGTCGTTACAATTGACTGGTGCAGCCAATGAAAACACTCTACTAAAAAAAAAAGGGGTGAATTCACTGGATAACAGGCCAATTATATGAAAAACCTCCTTTGTTGAAGACATTAGTTTGAACTTGATGGCCAGCAGTGTACTCTGTAGCTAGGGAGATATTACCTAATTCGTTATCCCAGTGCATTACATCAAACTACACTGAACTACATATAAGCTACTGAGAAATAGTCCTTCGTGGGTTGTTTGTGTATTACATAAGCTAATCTGAAAGTTATGCAAGATACACAAGTTACTTATATAAAGGCCTCAGTGTATTAAATTACTTACACAAAAAAAAACTTGTATGGTGATATCAGTGTTGAATGTAACAAACACTATTTACTTATTTAAGAGTGACCTCGGTGTATCATACAAGCGACCACGGAACCAGCTTCTGAAATACTGACAATACAAACTGTCGATACTGACAATATAAAACAATTAACAGTATTGAGGTCACAAACATCCCAAAAACATTTATCAACCTTAAGACTAGAAGAATGTGTGCAATGTTGTGATATTTACCAGTTTTTGCTCATTGGTTTGACAAGTTGAGGACAAGCGTACAAATCTTACTTTGCATTCTGATAAGCATTAAGACTGTGAAGGCCTGTATTAAAATAGACATGCAGAGTTACCATGGTGAAATGTGAAAACATGTTTTAATCCCCAATTATCACTTTTGTTATGTGTTGGGTAATTGAAAACCTGTTTTATAATCAAGCAAATGGGACAAAGCGTTTGTTACACTGTGAAGCGGTACTGACTCACTAACGGCATCCAATAAGTTAAACTTGCACACTATCAAAAACATTCCTTCACAACAACATAATACATGGTTACCAGTGGAACTAGTGCTGATCCCTACAATGAAAGAATTAAAATGGAGTCCACCATGGGCAGTGTTTTATATACTGGTACATTAGATAACATAGCAGTCGACTCCATCATAATTACACGTAAAACAATTGTCTTCATATATTTCATTAAATAAAATGTAAACTTGTCACTAACTTTCTATATTTTGTAGAGATGTGTAAAATCAATGTCTCATTTTACTGGTGTGTTCACTGTCAAACAGCAGCAGATGTGCTATATACACTACTGTCAATTTCATCTTTGTTGTCACAAGGTTTATCTATATTAATGTGGGATAAAAAGAAAAAATACCCAATTCTGTAATGCCTTATAGAGAAAGTCAGTAGATCAAACAGATGTACAAGTTTATTATCACACTCAGGGCAGTGTTCTAGTTCAAGCACCAAGATACTGATAAAGATATCTGCACAAGGTAAAGAGTTATCTGCCCCTTGTATCAATTCTCCATCCTTTGTCTCCACTGATGTTTTTAAAAGAGCTATTCCCCCCTTAAAGGATCTCCATCTTTGGAACTACTACTTTGGCACGACTGAGCTGACTACTACAATGACGTTACACCTCTCCCATCATGGGCTCAGCTGTTGGCGAGTCGTTTGATGCGCTCCAGCCTCATTTTGAGTTCTGAGAAATCTGCAGAGGAAGTTGAGGTCATGGACGATGGTGGATCACTCTCTGTTGTTGATGAAGGAGGGCCAACATTTATCTGTAACAGTAACATTTCTCAAATTAAATGAGATAATTCCTGTTGCTATGTTGAGGTCATAATATATTTTCTTGTATGTACTTTTTTACCAATACAAAAACTGTATTGGAAAATCACAGACGGTGATATACTCTTCCTCAAAGGGTTACATATGGGCAACATTCAGTTCTAATCTGGTCAATCTGATGACAAGAGATTGCAGATAAATACAATACGGTTTCCATACTAGTCAGTTTTATTGGGGCACATAGAGAGCATTCCATTTTATCATTCCACGGGCAACTAAATTTCCTCTACAAACCAATAGCAGTGATCTGGATACTGTAAATCATGCAGAATCAATTTGTTAATACATCTATATTTGCAACAAAAGAATATCAGTAAAAATGAGGAACACTCTCCAAGAACAGCATTAATTGACACAAAATATAATAAGCAATAATTATGTAATTAAGAAGTTTCAGGTGCTGAATCTGGTACACCATACATCCTGTAAGTATAACCAATGTATACATCAATATTCTTTATCCTAGTTTAAAAGAAAGCCAAGTTATCCTATGGATATAAGATTTTAACACAGAGCAATGACGCTGTAATGAAGGGGATGCAGGCCCTAACATTGGTACACAACACATTGTCTTTATATGATCAATGTATACCTCAACTATCAAGTTTAATCATCTTCATTTAAATTTAAAGTTGTGCTCTGGACATGCATTTAAATAAAGGACAATAACTCTCTAATTAAGGGGTTGTGGGCTCTGAAAATTTGGAACATTGCACATTGTCTTAGTATGATCAATGTTTACACAAAGTGTCATATCCTAGTTTAAATGCAAGCGAAGTTGAGTTCCAGACAGGAAATTAAAACACAGGGCAATAACTCCATAATTGGGTCACGGGCCCTGAGTTTGGTACACCAGTTTCATGATTCATGCTTAAATGAGAGCAAAGTTATGCTCCCCCCCACCAACAAAACTAATCGGGGAGTATAAATATGAAGAATTCATATTAAAATAGAAAATATGAAATTTTACCATGGCTGGTTCTGTATCCTCTTCTGAAGGTGGCACCTCCATTTCAGGTTTGGAAGTTCCTGTGTTGTTTGGCTGCAAATCAGGAGAACCCAGTTAGTATATTTCAACAATAAAGAGAGTTAGCCACATCAACTAATTTACTAAATTAATAGAAATATCCTTCGTTATTAAACCAATCCTTTTAAGTGAAGGTCTGTACTTGTGTAGCATATTTTGATGGAAATGGAGCTAAACACTAAGAGTTGGTCTAACAAAAAATTTCAAAAGTTTTTATTATACCTCTTCAATGTTATCGAGTCCACACCGGGCACGCAGTACCCGCAGTCTCTGTCGGTACACATTAGGTTCTTCTGTTGTTTCAGTGGTAGCAGGGTTACTAATCACCTGGATGTCAGACTTCATATACCCTGCACAAACAACAGGATGCATTTTTATTACATCTATTAAATTCTTGCTTTTCAAAATGAATTCAGTATTAAACAACAATTTGATTGTGATCTTCAAATTTTTGTTACCAGTCTGATGTTACCCCTGTGTAAAACATGGACTGTTTCTTCTTGTGCTACAGTGCACAACCCCTGTTTTAGCATAATCTGTTTCTGGTGTGGGGTGTTTTCCCTCCAGTACCTGTTTCAAATATAGGGTTTCCTCTTCTTGCCCTATACTACAGTCATGTGGAGTATTTGTCCACTCTCTTCTGTACTGTAGTGTACAAACCCTTTTCTGGTGTTACTTGTTTCAAACATGGAATATTTCCTTACCCTCTCTTGTACTACAGTGTACAGTCCCTATTCTACTGTTACTTGTTTCAAATGTGGGATAATTCTTCACCCTCCCCTGTACTACAGTGTACAGCACCTATTCTACTGTTACTTGTTTCAAATGTGGGATATTTCTTCACCCTCCCTTGTACTACAGTGTACAGCCCCTATTCTACTGTTACTTGTTTCAAATGTGGGATAATTCTTCACCCTCCCTTGTACTACAGTGTACAGCCCCTATTCTACTGTTACTTGTTTCACATACAGGATAATTCTTCACCCTCCCCTTTACTACAGTGTACAGCCCCTATTCTAGTGTTACTTGTTTCAAATGTGGGATAATTCTTCACCCTCCCCTGTACTACAGTGTACAGCCCCTATTCTACTGTTACTTGTTTCAAATGTGGGATAATTCTTCACCCTCCCTTGTACTACAGTGTACAGCCCCTATTCTACTGTTACTTGTTTCACATACAGGATAATTCTTCACCCTCCCTTGTACTACAGTGTACAGCCCCTATTCTACTGTTACTTGTTTCACATACAGGATAATTCTTCACCCTCCCCTGTACTACAGTGTACAGCCCCTATTCTACTGTTACTTGTTTCAAATGTGGGATAATTCTTCACCCTCCCCTGTACTACAGTGTACAGCCCCTATTCTACTGTTACTTGTTTCAAATGTGGAATAATTCTTCACCCTCGCCTGTACTACAGTGTACAGCCCCTATTCTACTGTTACTTGTTTCAAATGTGGAATAATTCTTCATCCTCCCCTGTACTACAGTGTACAGCCCCTATTCTAGTGTTACTTGTTTCAAATGTGGGATAATTCTTCACCCTCCCTTGTACTACAGTGTACAGCCCCTATTCTTCTGTTACTTGTTTCACATACAGGATAATTCTTCAACCTCCCTTGTACTACAGTGTACAGCCCCTATTCTACTGTTACTTGTTTCACATACAGGATAATTCTTCACCCTCCCTTGTACTACAGTGTACAGCCCCTATTCTACTGTTACTTGTTTCACATACAGGATGATTCTTCACCCTCCCTTGTACTACAGTGTACAGCCCCTATTCTAGTGTTACTTGTTTCAAATGTGGGATAATTCTTCACCCTCCCCTGTACTACAGTGTACAGCCCCTATTCTAGTGTTACTTGTTTCAAATGTGGGATAATTCTTCACCCTCCCCTGTACTACAGTGTACAGCCCCTATTCTACTGTTACTTGTTTCAAATGTGGGATAATTCTTCACCCTCCCCTGTACTACAGTGTACAGCCCCTATTCTACTGTTACTTGTTTCACATACAGGATAATTCTTCACCCTCCCTTGTACTACAGTGTACAGCCCCTATTCTACTGTTACTTGTTTCAAATGTGGGATAATTCTTCACCCTCCCTTGTACTACAGTGTACAGCCCCTATTCTAGTGTTACTTGTTTCAAATGTGGGATAATTCTTCACCCTCCCCTGTACTACAGTGTACAGCCCCTATTCTACTGTTACTTGTTTCAAATGTGGGATAATTCTTCACCCTCCCTTGTACTACAGTGTACAGCCCCTATTCTAGTGTTACTTGTTTCAAATGTGGGATAATTCTTCACCCTCCCCTGTACTACAGTGTACAGCCCCTATTCTAGTGTTACTTGTTTCAAATGTGGGATAATTCTTCACCCTCCCCTGTACTACAGTGTACAGCCCCTATTCTACTGTTACTTGTTTCAAATGTGGGATAATTCTTCACCCTCCCTTGTACTATGATGTACATAGGATATTTCCTCTCCCTCCCTTGTACTATGATGTACATAAGATATTTCCTCTCCCTCCCTTGTACTATGATGTACATAGGATATTTTCTCTCCCTCCCTTGTACTATGATGTACATAAGATATTTCCTCTCCCTCCCTTGTACTATGATGTACATAGGATATTTTCTCTCCCTCCCTTGTACTATGATGTACATAAGATATTTCCTCTCCCTCCCTTGTACTACGATGTACATAGGATATTTCCTCTCCCTCCCTTGTGCTACGATGTACATAGGATATTTCCTCTCCCACCCTTGTACTACGATGTACATAGGACATTTCCTCTCCCACCCTTGTACTATGATGTACATAGGATATTTCCTCTCTCACCCTTGTACTACGATGTACATAGGACATTTCCTCTCCCACCCTTGTACTATGATGTACATAGGATATTTCCTCTCCCTCCCTTGTACTGCGATGTACATAGGATATTTCCTCTCCTTCCCTTGTACTATGATGTACATCCCCTATTCTATTTTTACCTGTGTCTGATGGGGGCTGTTTCCCTTCTCTCTCTTGCTCAATAGTGTTCAGTCCTCTTTCTATATACATTTGGAAGAACTGGGAGGATTTCTTAAGAAAAGGTTCAAGGTCAGCATCAGGATATTTCTTCTTAAAATCATACAGATCATTTAGACCCTGTTAAAATAAAAAAAAAAAAAGAATGATGGAAAGAACTGTTACAAACTGCATATCTAACACTTCTAAGAAGAATTTTCTTTATCCATGTTGCAGCATCTTCACTTTTTGAGATTTTATGACCTTGAAATCTTGACACCTGGATTCTTAGATCATAAGGAAAACTAAATTATCCAAATTTTATTATTTATTCTGAAAACCAATTCATGTTGAGTTATATGATTACTGATATTTGACATGAATTGCATTTGGACAGGACCTCAGCTTCCTGAAGGAGAATTTTTATACTGTGCTTTAAAATATGCTTGATGTGTTGAACAGTACAGTCACATTCTGACAAAAACTCATTAATTATACATTAGACATCATAAAGACCACTGATTAATAAGAACAAACGATGTTGATTTCAAAGATCATGCTTGTCTCTTACTGATCAGTAATAATAATAATTTAATTTTTATCAAATTTATCAGAAATACTTAATGTCCTACTGGTATTACTAGTAAATAATCTTTCTAATTGAATTGTAATGTTACCAGAGTTACCTAAACTGAACTGAGATTTCACCAATATTCTGCCTATATGGGCTGAGATTTCACCAATATTCTGCCTATATGGGCTGAGATTTCACCAATATTCTGCCTATATGGGCTGAGATAACACCAATATTCTGCCTATTTGAAATGAGATAACACCAATATTCTGCCTATTTGAAATGAGATAACACCAATATTCTGCCTATTTGAACTGAGATTTCACCAATATTCTGCCTATATGGGCTGAGATTTCACCAATATTCTGCCTATATGGGCTGAGATTTCACCAATATTCTGCTTATCTGAAATTTTACCTCTTTTGTGTTCTCCTTGGAGCCAATCTTTTTGAAAATGACAGCTAACATATCATGTGTACTCTTGGTCAGTCTCTTCTGTTTCTGTGCACTCTGAAAACAATCATTACATGTATGTGTCAATGACTGCACACTGATATTAAGAGCTCGAGAAATCATGGACATCCTATTACTACTGACAGAAAGTACATATTTAATAGTGCGTAATTAACTCTTTCTACTCTCAATTCAAATTTCACAGTTTCACGCTTCAGTAAAAAGGATTATTTACGACTGTGTGGTGCTTACAATATCGGTATGTTGCCATTTATTTATTTCAATCTATCGTTTGAAACTAGTTGAAACATTTTTATTGAATATCACTATTCATGTACTCACCGTGTCATGTGTAATTTATCAATCATTGATAACCATTTCTTTCATTGCATGCAGAAGTTTTTACTTATTCCTGTTTTTTTTTGACAATAAACTACTCAATTTTATATATCTTTTAGTTTTTAATGGTTTGATTGATTCTCTCGTCATCAACACCTCAGAAGTAGAATACGACTATTTTGCTGTCAGTGTGAACAACATGGTTTAATCCAACTGATTTTCAAGTGTTTTATTGCTTTAATAAATGAATATGCAAGAAAAACATGAATATTATCATCATAATTTTATGTTTAACACTTATTATCTGTTTGATAAATGTTTCTCTGCCATTTCCTACATACGAGTATGCATAATTGGTGAGTATCACAAACATGTTTCATGGCATCTCAAGACGTCCCAAAGGAACAAACACATGATAACTGTGACCTCACAAAGATACTGGAGCACTTTTTTGTGACATCTCAGGATGAGTTTATAATACAACTTTTATCAAAATCAGTGAATCATCATGCTTTTATATCAGATATATGTAAAAAGTAAAAAACAATGGTCAAGTTAGCTTCAGAAAAAAAATTCTTCTCCAACTTACCCCTCTCTGAGCCCGAGAGTCCTCCTCATCAACACCACCATTTTGAGCTCCAGTAAACTTTAGGATTTTGTTGAGGTAGGATCGCACTTCCGAATTGCCATCAATCATCGTCATATGATTCAGAATCTAGATAAACAGATTTCATATTACCTGTACACATAATCTTGACAGATTTTCTATCTCACATGGCCTGTACACAGAATCTAGACAAACAGACTTAATGTTTCGTATTACCTGTACACAGAATCTAAACAAACAGACTTAATGTTTCGTATTACCTTTACACTTAATCTAGACAAACAGACTTAACGTTTCGTATTACCTGTTTACAGAGTCTAGATAAAATAATTTTATATTTTGTATTACTTGTATTCAGAATCTAGATAAACAGATTTTATATCTTATTACCTGTATACAGAATTTACCTATACAGAAACTTTTACTGTATACAGATTTATACTTTAAAAACTGCAAGTCATGCAATTAGTACCCTTCGATGACAACACAAGTCGTCACTTACCGCAGCTCCCTGCAGTTTACTGATGGAATGCAGAATGGTTCTGATTGTCCGTATTGGCAAGTCATTGGGCCGTGACTTCCATGTGGAGCCAGGAAAAGCGGTCATAAACATGTGTATATCCAGTAATATACAATCCAAGTTGATGTCGTTGATGATCTCAGGTAACATTCGGACAATCTTCCACAAACACTACAACAAACCATTGCTTAATATTTATATCACATTACATAATTACTCAAAATCATAGGCTTAATACTCTGAAATACATAATCTTAAAAAAAGTGCATCCTTTTTTACATGTCTTAAAGCAAGATCCTTCATCAAGGCTACTAAATTTTCAAGATATATAAAACATATTGAATAACTGTTGACTTGATATGAACAGGTATGCTGGATTTATTGTAATCTTGAAGATAAAATGGCTGAAGATGATAGTATACTATACCTTCATGATCAATTCCAAAAACTTCCCCGAGCAAATCTCACTGGCTACACAGTCCTGTAGCAATCTGATCAAGGCACTGTAATATAAAACAACAACCTTGCATCATTTTCAATAAGAAAATTGTTCAATTGTTAGGTGTGTCATAAATTATCTTCTATTTTACGTCAGATATTAAAGGTTCAAACAAAGATATAACAACAATTTGACATTACCTCATAATAGAAGTATGGTCAGCTTTCTCCACGATCTTGACCACCATGACATTGACCGACCGGACAACCTGGGCCCCCTCCTCCAGCTCACCTAGTCTGTTATCCAGAAGGATGGTGACTAGATTGTTTATAAGATCCTTAAGAATGTCCTTTGAGGCCTTGGCAGAAAGGCTGGGGTTTTGGAACAACTGCAATCAAAACAAAATGTAACAACTGTAAAATGATAAGACTGAAAAGATTGTGATAAAATCTAGCAAGTATGCTACAATACCAATACTTACAGCCAGGAGCGTTCCAAGCAGACATCTGTATAGACGTATGACACCTGTACAGACATATAAAACCTGTACAGACATATGATGTTGTTCTGATGTGCTGACTTGTACTTACAGCCAGGAGAGTTCCCAGCAGACACCTGTACAGACATATGACACCTGTACAGTCATATGACGCCTGTACAGACATACGACACCTTAACAAACATACGACACCTGTACTTACAGCCAGGAGAGTTCCCAGCAGACATCTGTATAGACGTATGACGTTGTCTTTGGCTGTTGACTTGCTGCCCATGTGGGTCGAGTAAACCATCTTAAGTTGCATGGACATTGACAAGAGCAGCTGGTCTACATGATTAACCATAACCTCAGCTCGACCTTCCTCCTTCAGGACCTCATCAATCTGCAACATCCATCACATCTTTACAATAACCCAAATACCACTGAATCCCTTTAATAACCCACATACCAGTGAATCCCTTTAATAACCCACATACCAGTGAATCCCTTCAACAAACTATACACTTATGAATCTTTTCAATAATCTACAAACTTGTGAATCCCTTCACAATCAAGCATTACCTACATACCTAGGACTATATATAAGGTAACCTACATACCTAGGACTATATATAAGGTAACCTACATACCTGTGACTATATATGGTAACCTACATACCTAGGACTATATATAAGGTAACCTACATACCTGTGACTATATATAAGGTAACCTACATACCTGTGACTATATATGGTAACCTACATACCTGTGACTATATATGGTAACCTACATACCTGTGACTATATATGGTAACCTACATACCTGTGACTATACATGGTAACCTACATACCTGAGCAAGGGCCTGTATACACAAAGTGATGTCTGCACTGGTGATCTGTGAGATGACCATGCTGATTGTGGTGGCTGCATCAGTAGATTTGGCCATCCTCAAAGATGGAGAAGGTGGTCTGTTACGGCTTTTAAAAAAGAGGAGAAATGGAACTATGAATCCTTTTCGCCAATTTTAACATATTTCATTGTGAACTCCTTCTAATCAAATTCACTCTATATTATAAATGGCCTATCAAGATTTTATCAAATAAGATTGTCACTTTTCATGCTTTCCTACTCTTTACAAAAAAAATCACCAAAATAGACAGTTCTACAATTATCGAAAACTCTGATACCAATCAGATAGACTGGGTAATATCTGAGATAAAGTTATATAACATGCAGGTGGTCTTACTCAATAACCAGGGGCTGGTTGATATGGGAAACATGTGAAATCTTTCTACCGATTGCTTTATGACAAATACAAAAGACTGATTGCAAAATTCTTTTCAAGATAGCATAAAGTTATCAGAATATATGTGAAGTTTTTTTGAGAGTAATGTTTTACTGGTTTATGTTATCATATCGACTACATATAAATGTTACGAGTTGTTGCTATTTGTTTATTTTGCATTATACTTTTAATACTTTATTCATAATGCATTGTTCTGAATGTTTTATGCAAAATGCATTACACGAAATGCATTACGCAAAATGTGTTATGCTCAATACTTTGAAGGGAAAATGCTTTACACTAAATATGTTTTGCTACATGGTTTATGTATGCATAATGTATTATGCTAAATTTGAAGTACTTTTAATGAAATAGGCCCTACATCAGTATGTGTCTTAATGTCTACATTAGTAAACATCAGTTCTACATCAGTAAAAGTCTTACTTGATAGTAGGGGGCAATTTGACTGGCTGAAAAATCTCCTCCAAATCATACTGAATGAGTTTTGGGACCTCTGGCTGTGATGTCCGGTCATCTTCTATCTCAATAGCAAATTTCTTGACCGAGTTGGATGAGGCAGACTTTGGAATGGCAGTACCTGGTCTCTGTATTGTGGCTCTGTCAAATACAAGTAGTTCAAGATAGTTTTCTGAGGTCATAAACCAAGACAGGTAGACTGGAGTTTTCCAACTCCATAAAAACCAAGACAGGTAGGCTGGAGTTTTCCAACTTCATAAAAACCAAGACAGGTAGGCTGGAGTTTTCCAGATTCATAAATATAGATTTTCCATATCTTAAAGTTCTTTACTAACATAATATGTAAAACTGAAGACTACAGGCTATGAACTGGTAAGTGGTACAAGAGTCTACAAACTGAAGACTACAGGCTATGAGCTGGTAAGTGGTACAAGAGTCTACAAACTGAAGACTACAGGCTATGAGCTGGTAAGTGGTACAAGAGTCCACAAACTGAAGACTTCAGGCTATGAGCTGGTAAGTGGTACAAGAGTCACTCTAGTGTATGATTGGAATGATTAACAACCAGTTTAGTTACAAGCTTCAACAAGATACAATAGTTACATCAATATTATCTGTCCAGTACATTACATTTTACCAAGTAGTACTGTAATGTTTCAGATTCTAGAAGATTCCATGGTGATCAATATCTTTAAAACAAAAAACTATAAATTCAGAGATACACTGTACATACTGAGAAGCAGATCTTTGTGGTTGCTGAGGGGCAGTTCTAGGGCGCGGTTCCTCCTGGACCTTTTGTGGCTGAGCAGACTTATTCTTCAGCGACCTCTTAATCCTCTCATCTAGTAGGTCCTGGTCTTTGTCATTCAGCTGTTAGGGATCAAAATAACACAGTATCAGTAATGGCAGGATTGAACTTTAAACCAAAGTCAGCCAAAATCACAGAATAAACACCAAGACCAGCCAACACTATAGGATAAACACCAAGGTCAGCCAACACTACAGGATAAACACCAAGGTCAGCCAACACTACAGGATAAACACCAAGGTCAGCCAACACTATAGGATAAACACCAAGGTCAGCCAACACTACATGATAAACACCAAGGTCAGCCAACACTACAGGATAAACACCAAGGTCAGCCAACACTACAGGATAAACACCAAGGTCAGCCAACACTACATGATAAACACCAAGGTCAGCCAACACTACAGGATAAACACCAAGGTCAGCCAACACTACATGATAAACACCAAGGTCAGCCAACACTACAGGATAAACACCAAGGTCAGCCAACACTACAGGATAAACACCAAGGTCAGCCAACACTACAGGATAAACACCAAGGTCAGCCAACACTAAAGGATAAACACCAAGGTCAGCCAACACTACAGGATAAACACCAAGGTCAGCCAACACTACATGATAAACACCAAGGTCAGCCAACACTACAGGATAAACACCAAGGTCAGCCAACACTACAGGATAAACACCAAGGTCAACCAACACTACAGGATAAACACCAAGGTCAGCCAACACTACAGGATAAACACCAAGGTCAACCAACACTACCACCTAAACAAAACAAATTGGAGAGAAGATCCTTGGTGAAATGTGTTCATTCAGTCACAAGAGGACCAATGTGTCTGTATTGCTCACCTTGTACTATATCCTTTATACATAACATTTACATTTCACATCATTGATCTCCAAAGGGGGTCTAAATGAAACTATAAAAAAACCTGACTTAATAACTTACCAATTTAAAATACTAAGGCTAACTGGTTATACTCAGGAGGGATTTAACTATATTGGCAGTGCGTAAAGATAGCACAATAATTAAGTACCTAGCAGACATTTCCACAGTGAATGAAAATTCCAGACAATATATGTTATGCCTGAAACACTAGTCCACAGACATATGTGAAATTTGATACCTGTGAACTTACCCAAACCACAAAATATTAGTTCCCTGAAATTTAGCTACTATACTGTAATATACAATTACTGGCCTGTTTTAAGGTCAATAATTATTAGCCGGAGAAAGTGATATTTCCAAAAGCCAAAACAGGTCAATAATTCTTCAATCTATGACGACAATTCAGGCTTCTGATTGGTAAAAAACTGACGCACAGCCTACTGGATTGTTACATTCATCGCTGACGCACAGCCTACTGGATTGTTACATTCATCGCTGACGCACAGCCTACTGGATTGTTACATTCATCGCTGACGCACAGCCTCCTGGATTGTTACATTCATCGCTGACGCACAGCCTGCTGGATTGTTACATTCATCGCTGACGCACAGCCTCCTGGATTGTTACATTCATCGCTGACGCACAGCCTACTGGATTGTTACATTCATCGCTGACGCACAGCCTTCTGGATTGTTACATTCATCGCTGACGCAAAGCCTGCTGGATTGTTACATTCATCGCTGACGCACAGCCTACTGGATTGTTACATTCATCGCTGACGCACAGCCTACTGGATTGTTACATTCATCGCTGACGCACAGCCTACTGGATTGTTACATTCATCGCTGACGCACAGCCTACTGGATTGTTACATTCATCGCCGACGCAAAGCCTACTGGATTGTTACATTCATCGCCGACGCAAAGCCTACTGGATTGTTACATTCATCGCCGACGCACAGCCTACTGGATTGTTACATTCATCGCTGACGCACAGCCTACTGGATTGTTACATTCATCGCTGACGCACAGCCTACTGGATTGTTACATTCATCGCTGACGCAAAGCCTACTGGATTGTTACATTCATCGCTGATGCACAGCCTACTGGATTGTTACATTCATCTGTGAGCCTCGCCTGATGGAGTTTTGGACTGTTATATTCACCTTGTGTGCTTGGATTCTGGATTTATTTCAACAAACTTTGTCTGGATTCATCCAAGGACCCTACATCATTATTCCAGACCTTTTGATTTTGGAAATTTGACTCTCATGACCTTGAATTAAGGTTAAGGTCATTTCGTTTCATAAAAATTGCTGTGCTTCATCCAAGAAAGCTACTTGTAAAATCTAAATCTAGGGCTTTTTGTTAATCAGAAGGAATTATTCAAAATAAAAAGTTGATACAAAACAGATGATGAACAGCGCAGTACGGTACAAGTTGGAAGTCTAGAACAGCTAACATGTTAAGTATAGTTGTTGTGACAGCTGTACTAATACTTACTGATCCTGTATACTTGTACAGATTGTCTCCTAGGATAGTGTGAGCCACAACTGTAGCATTGAGAGCTGCATTTCTAACACCATTGTCACGGTTACCAATCTGGCCACTGATAGTTTTGAGTGCTTGCCCTGGTGATGGCTGACAAATCGTGATGCCATATGCCTCAATTAGGCTTCCTAACTCCTCCAAGCACTCTGTGACAAACAAAACAAATATATCAATCATCTTTCATAACAGATAATTTCCCAAGATTCAAAATAAGGAACTTGCAGTGATTCATTAACTTAAAATAGTTATTGAAACGTTATATCATCAACAATAGCCGAGTCTACTAAGAACAAATATGAATGAAAACTTACAGAAATGTCCCTATCATTCTCCTCAAAAACTTATAATTACCCTTAAAATAAATCACACACACTGATCACTTCAATCTTTTATATAAATTAACAAATCATGAAGCATGCTCCCACTCCCATGCAAACCACAACGGGATGGAACAGATATGGGTAACACCATATATTCGTCCTTAAAAACAGAGGCGGCATAGGAAAGCCAGTAGGTTATAGACACCTACCCATGCGTTGCTTGGAATTTTTGGATTTCAAACCATCGATGAGGTAGCTAAAGGTCTTGCTAGCTGGATAGACTTTGTGAAGCAGTTTGAAGAGAACACGAACATCTCGTCTTACGCCATCTTTCGAGTCTCCCACCTACAATAATTGCATAAATCTCTGATCCAGAAAAAGAAAAACTTTCAAAGTTATCCTTAAAGACTTATCAACTTTTTAAAAATGTAATGTTTGGCCTTCCAAAAATCGAAGTTTTGATGGATTTACAAAACTGCTTTGCATCAAAAATCCTATTTTAAATTTAGCAAATATTCTTTTTTAATAGAAAACTGATGACTCTGAAGGTATGACAATATGCCTTATTATAATCAGTGCATGAAACTAAAATATGTTGATCAATTTCATTAATGTATGTAGAATAAAAGAAATTATAAAAACCAAAAGATAGTGAATACACTAAAAGAGTAGAAGCTTTTACTCACTTTTATAACAAGATAGGGGATGAAGGAGGTTGCCTCATACTCGGCTAGGTGGTAGTCCTCCTCAGATAACATGGTGAAGAGTAGACGTAGATACTCCAGTGCCTTGTTCAACATACTAGGGTTTGTGTCAAAGAAACGGATGGTAAACCACTTCAAGATAATGTCCAGGTTCACCATTGTTGCATCGTGTTGGCTGTCCAAACACTGTGGCATAAAGAAAAGAATTCATGCATGTCCACCACAACAAATAATATAGATATTATAATCAGATTTACGAATAAGAAATAAATATATTTTTGTCTGTTATAGCAACCAGTTTACCTTGATCTTAGTCTTAGAGAATATTTAACGCCCAAGTGTGACATGTGACAATTACCTTTTGAAGAATTTCTATAGCCTTGGAGTGACGTTTGATAATTACCTTGATAAGGATTTCAATGGCCTGGGTGTGACGTTTGAAGTCTGAATGGAAAAGCAAATCTATCATACTTTTGCTGAAGTTCTTTTCCATCTGTGTTCGTAACTGTTCAATATATTCTCCACGCACTTCAATAAAGTTCCATTTTAAAACCTAAAACACACAAATTTACAGAAGACATAACCACCATGAACAATGCACAACAATAGATAAAGACAGCATAAGGACTTCTTATATAATAAATTGACCTCAGGTGATCTTGTTAATTACTTTACAGTGAAGTGTCACATTTATAACATTGTAATGAAGGGATGTGTCAAGTTTATAACATTGTAGTGAAGGGATGTGTCAAGTTTATAACATTGTAGTGAAGGGATGTGTCACATTTATAACATTGTAGTGAAGGTATGTGTCAAGTCTATAACCTTGTAGTGAAGGGATGTGTTAAGTCTATAACATTGTAGTGAAGGGATGTGTCAAGTTTATAACGATGTAGTGAAGGGATGTGTCAAGTTTATAACATTGTAGTGAAGGGATGCGTCTTTCTTATAATGTCACACACAGTAACCAGAAGTTTTTGGTGTTTAATTTTACAGTAAAGGGAACTTTCTTATGTATAACTTCTCAATACCTTCACTTTGAATAGCTATGCAGTAAGTTTTCTTGTTTACAAGTTTATGTTCTACAGTGTCAAGTGCGACAAATTTTATGTTTATTTTTTTTTTCTTTCGGGATCTTTCCTCGGGTATCGGTGCTTTCGCTGCATATACAAATCACAAAGGCTTGGTTTTGATAACAACACTATATTAAAATCAACAACACATCATTGATTACACGGTTAACACTGCAACACGTGTGTGGCACATACACAATCATACAGAAACTGAGAACGGCCTTTGTAATGTCACGGTATGTGTGTACAGTTCACTTTCACGTCACACGATTGTTCATTATCACGATGCATGTCTGACTTTGACTTACAGTTCATAAATGACCATGATGCCTTTCCGTGGTTTCCTTTCCGGTGAAAAACATTCCCTTCTTCTCCTCTTGCACGTTCTCCCCCAAGCTGACGTTCCTTCCAGGGGACATAACTCTTAACACTTTTTAGAAGGGTGCGCACTACTAAGTCATCTTATGTAGTTGCTTACATATACTAAAACATGCGGTGTCCTTTTCTTCTTTATAGTGCACACACATATATAAATCAGAATTATGTTACATATTTATTTTGACAACCCCCCATTTAAAGAAAATACACTTGTATATTTTCTACTCTAATGGAAATAAATATCACAATACTCTTACCCAGTAATGTCACCTATAACTATATGAATTGCCAACTTACGAACAAATCTCAGGAAAGAAATCTACTGCCTACTCAGGTAGTCTGCACAAACGTTTTCAGAGCCTTTCACCACTTCAATTCTAAACTTGTAAGTTTGAAGGAAAAGTGCCCATCTCATGATTTTTGGACTCTCTATTTTGCTCTTCTGAATATACATGAGGGGAGCATGGTCTGTTTGCAATGTAAATTCTCTACCATACAAATACATCTGAAACTTCCTAATTGAAAACACTATTGCTAGACATTCCCGCTCAAAAACCGAGTAATTTCTCTCCCTAGCAAGTAGTTTCTTACTGGCGTAAGCAACAGGAAACAATCCATCGCTTTGCTTTTGCATGAGAACATCCCCAATACCAATATCGGACACATCTGCCTGAACAACAAATGATTTTGATAGATCGGACAGTCGCAAAACTGGAGCATCGGTCAACAGATCTTTCAGTCGCTTGAACGCTCTCTCCTGTGGTGGTCCCCAATCGACATTTGTCGGTCGTCCCTTTTTGGTAAGGTCTGTCAACGGTGAAGCAACATCTGCCAAGTTAGGCACAAACTTGCAGTAGTAGCCCGCTAGGCCTAAGAAGGATCTGACTTGCTTCTTAGTTCTTGGTCACTCTGCGTCCCTGACCCTTTCCAGTTTGTCTGTTTCCATGGCAACATGTCCTCTGCCAACCGTATGTCCAACAAATCGTATTGATCTGAATCCAATCATGCACTTTGACGGGCGAATGGTCAGTCCTTATCTGCGTAAGCAAGTCTCTGAGAGTGTTCAGATGCTCATTCCATGTTTGGGTGTGTCCAAGAATGTCATCGACATAATGATCAATGTTCTGGCTTCCATCTAGCATTTTTCGCATCATTCGGTTAAACGTTGCACCAGAGTTCACCAATCCAAATTGTACTTTACGAAACTGGTAACATCCCTCATCTGTCACAAATGCTGTCATATGACGTGATGCTTCCGCAACAGGAATTTGCCAGTATCCCTTTGTTAGATCAAATTTCGAAAAGAAGACATCTTTTTTTAAGTCCGGTTAGGATCCTTTCTTTCACCCATGGGCTCTGGATCAAATCTTGTTATCGCATTTAAACGTCGATAATCCACACATACTCTGTTGGTGTTGTCCTTTTTCTTGACAACGACAATAGGTGCGCAGTAAGGAGAGGTCGATCGTTCAACAATCCCCATGTCTATCATCTTCCTTACTTCCTCGTGAATTTCTTCCTTCTTTGCATATGGAATTGAGTAAGGTTTCATCCGAACAGGAGCATCTGTTGTCGTCTCTATACGGTGCTCTTGCAAGTGAGTCGTACTTGGCGTGTCTGTAAATATATCCTGGAACTCCTCTAGTAAGTTGTTCACTTGTTTACGCTGATCTCTTGTCAGTTCTTTACTTACAACTACATCCTTGTATGTTTCAACTCCGGATAAATTTCCAAGCTCGAATAAATGCTCATCATCTACTGCTCCAACGTCATCTGTGTCATCCGATTCAATGACTGCTATCCCAGCATTCTTTTGAGGAAGTTGTATTTCTCGCTGTTCTGCCGATGCTGCATCACCCTGCTCTCTCGTAATATACCTCTTTAACATGTTGATGTGGTAGACCTTTTCTTTACCACAGACATTCACTTTGTAGTCCATCTGGTTGATGACCTCTACTACATCATACGGTCCTTTCCATTGCAGCAGTAACTTGTTATGGTCTGTCAGTAATAATACAAGTACCTGTTGTCCGACCTCCAGATGCCTGTCTTGCCTTTTTGTCTTAATGACGCTTGTATGCCTCTTGTGCAGAACTCAGGCTCTCTCTTGCAATCTTGCAGGTCTCTTCAAGTTTATTTCTAAGATCGAGCACGTGTTGGTATGTCGTTTTCGGGGTACCTTGTAGCGTAATTGACTACAGTTTGTATATACCGATTCTTGTCCTCTGAAATAGAGTGTATGGGTCCTATCAGATCCACTGCCACTCTCTGGAATGGTTCTTCAATAAGAGGCATCTCTCCTAGTGGTACCTTGGTAATCCGTCCTCTCGGTATAGTCTTTTGGCAAATACCATATGATTGGCAAAACCGTGTGACATCTCCTGTAATGCCTGGCCAGTGAAAACTTGACGAGATTCTATCAATGGTCTTCAAAAGTTCCGAAGGTGGCCTCCTATGAGGTAAACCATGTGCCAAAGCCATGACCTGTCTCCTATACTGTTGTGGTACCTTCTGCGTAATCACTTCCTTAGTATATGTTTCCTCTAGTTTGTGTATACACACGATATAGGACCTCTCTTTTAACCTGCCACTCTCTGGAATGGTTCTTCAATAAGAGGCATCTCTCTAGTTCCTTGCAAGCTAATCCACAAATTACATATTTCTTTTGAAATACCTTAAAGGCAAAAGTTGACATCTCCTGTAATGCCTGGCCAGTGAAAACTTCTTGTGTACAATTCTACAGAAAAATTCTGGTGTACAATTCTATGTGCCAAAGCCATGATATGTCTCCTATACTGTTGTGTACATTTCTCAGTGTACATGTTTCTACTAGTTTGTGTATACACAGATATAGGACCTCTCTTGTACCTAATTCTAGTGTTTCCTGTCAGAAACTTCTTTCCTTATAATTCCACAAATTACAAGTATTTTGTGTGTACAGTTGTATGTAATTCTACAGCAAGTTTCTTGTGTACAGTTCTACAGAAAAATTCTGGTGTACAATTCTATAGTAAGTTCCCTGTATATAGTTCTACAGTGCATTTCCAGTGTACAGTTCTACAGTAAGTTTCATTTGTATAATTCTAGTGTTTCCTGTGTATAATTCTACAATAAGTGTTGTGTGTACAGTTCTACTGTGTTTCCTGTGAAGTGTCCTGTGTGTCTAGTTCTACAATGATTTTCCTGTGTATAGTTCTACTATGTTTCCTGTGAAGTGTCCTGTGTGTCTAGTTCTACAATGATTTTCCTGTGTATAGTTCTACTATGTTTCCTGTGAAGTGTCCTGTGTGTCTAGTTCTACAATGATTTTCCTGTGTATAGTTCTACTATGTTTCCTGTGAAGTGTCCTGTGTGTCTAGTTCTACAATGATTTTCCTGTGTATAGTTCTACTATGTTTCCTGTGAAGTGTCCTGTGTGTCTAGTTCTACAATGATTTTCCTGTGTATAGTTCTACTATGTTTCCTGTGAAGTGTCCTGTGTGTCTAGTTCTACAATGATTTTCCTGTGTATAGTTCTACTATGTTTCCTGTGAAGTGTCCTGTGTGTCTAGTTCTACAATGATTTTCCTGTGTATAGTTCTACATTATGTGTAACACCTACCTTCATGTTCTTTTCATCTTTGAAACGCTGCTCTTTGGCTACTGTGGTGTTCATCGGAGGCCCCATATCTTCTTCTTCCTTCTTTTTCTTACTTGTTGTTGGAGCCTACCCCAAAACAGGAAACAATCAAAATCATTCTGCTACTTTGCTTTTCAGCAGTTTCTTTTCTTCCCTTCCTTTTCTAAATAGCGATGACTGAAAACATCTTACCAAATGATCTTTATTTTGCTTCATTTAACATATTGACACACAACAGACAAAAAATAGAGAAATGTGAGCAACTGTTTTTACTTGATGCTTTTACTTGAAGCAATCATATCCTTGCAGCTTAGATGTTCTAGGTCCCAACAGCTGAGAACAGCTATATAGATGCATTAATTGTCTTACACATAAAGGTATCAAGTAACATTGAAAGAAATCTCTGATATTTACAGTGTATATACAGATTTTTTTTTACTTTCAACTAAGAACTTTATCACAACATTTCTTATTTTAATTAATTGCTTACACTCTTTGCCTTGCCGCGGACAGTTTTTCCTGTCGCAGGCTTGCTCTCAGGAACACTTTCTTGTGAAGCTGTGGACAGTGGTCGGCTTGGCTTGGTATCAGGCTCATCATAACTTTCTGGAGAACTGGCTTTCACTGGTGCTGCAGCTTTCTTAGCTTTCTGTGGCTTGGCAGGGAGGTTTCCTTTTGCCTTTTCTAGCAATGCCAGAATTGTGTCCTTGGATCCGGGCTGTCAAGGTCAATTATCTTACTATCAGGGGTTTCTTCATAAAAATATACCAAACTATGCTAATGCACATTATGTCTGATAACTTAATTAATGGGAAGTCAAAGGAGAGTTTTGAAAAAAACAAGTTACTTGTTCCTTGTTACTGTACAGTTGTTTGATTTTGTGAGGCTAATATTTTGCAACTGTCCCTGGTTCATGTTTGTGCATGTTGATTCATTGGTATCCAATACAGAGATGATAACACCAAATTTTCAAGACTTCAATTCACTGTAAAATGTTCACTGGGTATTTAATTTTCTGCCATGTTTAATGACCACAAATATAGCAAAATTAAAACAACTAAGATAATTATGTACCTTCATTTTTGATGTTGCCTTAAACATGCTTTCATAACCCACATGGATCATAAATGGTACGAGTGCATCCTGTGCCTTCTTCCTCACATCCCCGTTCCTATCTTCCAGGCAGTTTAACAAAAGTGGTACACATTGTTTAAACTCTGGTGGTAGTTGTTTGTGGTTTGGTAGCCTCTCAGTTAACCAACCCAGTAACTGTGGACAAATAAAACATTGCAGGTGTAGAACTACAAAATTTCTTTTTGTTTAAAAATTCACATGGCATCAATTTCACATTTCAATTCATCTACAAAGGAAACAAAGTTGTGTACACTGATATGAAAGAATGGGATAAAATGAAATAGTATAACAATCACTGGTCAGGAAATACTCTAAAAGTTCACCTTCACCTCAAAACTCATTTGTTGTCTACACATGGACTGCAGATGGAACTCACCTCCTGTCTTAGGTTGGGGTTCTCCAGTCGCAGTGCATCTAGTATAGCTTCTACTTCTACTAAGGGTACCAAGTTACAATGTTCCACCCAGGCATTGAGTGCTCCCACTGCGGCGGCCCTCAGTGCAGGCTAAAAGAAATAATTGTAAAATTCAGTCTAATTTTTAGAAGTCGCATATGACTGAAAATAATGGTGTTAAAAGTGTATGTAAATCACCTATAGTACTTTTTCGGGAAGAATATTATATTGTTGATACATTGAAAAAAAAGGCTTTTATAAAAAAGGTACATTCATACTTTTTTACTCTATGACAAAAACTACAAAATGCTTAACACTGCTTGAAACATTGTGCAGTGTGTAATTATGCAACCGTTCACATCACAAAATGATAATTTGAATACATCTTCCTTATAAAAAGTTATATCATTAATCATTGATCCGAGATAACAGAGTCATGTGACAGTGAGTCAGGTGATGCAGAGTCATGTGACACAATTTTCTTTTACACAGAGTTCAGCTGACAAACCTTTGAAGAAGATACTTTACCTTACTGTCTCCAAGACAGCTAATAAGTGCAGGCCCTATAACTCGGATGTGATGCTTGCAGTGAGGTCCCATGTTTTTGGCCAAAGTTAAACAAATAGCAATTGTCATGTTCACCTGTAAAAATTGAGCAGAAATAATAAGTATGATATGTAAAGGTTTCATTACATTTAACACCTAAAAAATGAAAGTTTATCCTTGCAATGTACATGTCATCCAAATACTGAAAATCAGTGAAAAGTGGGCAAAATCTGGAAAGAGAGTAAATCGCAGCATCCTTACAGAATTCTTTTTTCAATAGAAACACAAAAATTTTATAAATCTACTTATATTGGCTCTTCTGTGCTGAATAATACAGCCAATGAATAAGGACTCCACTGTAAGTGCTTTCTTAGGACATGAACCACTGAAAGTTTGTTGAAAGGATAAGGTGACCCACTAGTGCTTAACTAGGACATGAAGTACTGACAGTTCGTAGAGAGGATGAAGTGACTTACCAATACTTGGCTAGGATGTTCACTACCAGTAGTTTGTTGGGGGGAGATGAGGTGACATAAGAGTGTATTGTTAGGACTCAAACTGTCTGAACTCAGTTTGTTAGAGGTGACCTACCAGTACAATATTTGGACACTTACTACTCCCTTGGTTTGGAGGACTACCAAACATTCATTTAGAAATTTAAACAACAAAGCAACGTACCAACACTTTGTTAGAGTCCCCTAGGCGGAGTTTGATTGACTCGGGAAGGGGACCAAGATTGGCTTTAATGAATTTGGCTTCATTCAAAATGGCTGCCACTTTTTCCAAGGCTTCCTTCCTTATCTTCCAGTTTTTATCAGCCATTTCTGCCATCAGTTCTGGTGTAAATTTCTCTCTAAAAAACATTTATTTTTTTACAGTATAAATACACTCATGTTTATGAAATACTAGGCTACACATACAATAATAGATAAATCAGCACAAAATTCTGTGTTATATAATGGTGACTTCACATGTTTTTCTTTTGAAGTAGTAGTATTTGACAAACTGAACTTTGTCATTTAATCTTTACAATGGTATGAGAAAAAATGATCATGGTAAAGATTTTGTCGTTTTATGTGAAGATTTAAACTCACCCGTACACTGAATTTAAAAAGCTTGCATAGAATCACATAATAAGTACTTTTCATGTTTTAATACTATATAATGAATGGAATCAGGGCACTACATACATCTAGCAATTAAACTGATTCCCAAAACACAAACTGAGCAAACATTAGAAACACTATTCTGAACATAATTGAAAAAAATAATGTTCAGAATAGTTTTTGCTGATGTTTAAAAAGAAAGGAACCCTGATCTTAAGGCCATGATATTGTTTCTCTATATCCAAATGTAGATTTACAACCTACTCCAAGGCTAAAATATTGTTTCTGTATATTCCAATATAGATTTACAACCTACTCCAAGGCTAAAATATTGTTTCTGTATATTCCAATATAGATTTACAACCTACTCAAAGGCTAAAATAATGTTTATGTATATTCCAATGTAGATTTACAACCTACCCCACATCATTCCTTGGTATGAGGTCAGCCATACCGCTTTCCTCTGTCTCACCACCTTCTTCATCTTCTTCATCCTCCTCCTCGCCCCCTGGAGGTATAACAGGACCTCTAGTAGGGGCAGGGGGCTTCTCTCCTTTCACCTGTTAACAAATCTTGCATGAAACTTTACAAAGCTACTCTCATCATAGCTTAACATCTTCATTCTGTTCACATGTGAATTATTCTCACATTAAAACTTACACAACTAATCACAACACGGTCAAAATTAAGTCAACCTGTGACTGATTAATTATTCATTATCAGCTTCCTAGAACACCTTTCTCTTTTAAATGTTTAAACACTGATCCTGTCTTACATACTGCAGTTAAGATAGCACATATCGTTCCCACTACTTTTCAACATACCTTTTCAATCTCGGCATCGATCTGTTGAAGAAGAGCTGCTTTCTCATCTTCAAAACATGTACGGACTGCCTGACCCATGTACAGGTACATAACACCTACCAAGTTAATGGCCGACGTTCTAACAGCCTATAAACCAACAGAAAAGACCATAATAGACCCAGCAGCATTTTTCATAGAAACATTCCTTACAAATGGTTTCAAAATGATCTATTTTCATTAAAAATGACTGTTATTGGAATCTAATGATGAAAAGAAAATTGCATTGTAACGAAAGCCTTAAATTTATTTAGAACTGTAATTATCTTTACTATATTCCAATATGAAATGTAGAACAAAGGTTCCACTCTCCATTTACTCCTGGAATGCTATCCTGACATAGTGACAAAGTGAGCCCATGTAAACATATCCTTTTCACCCCATCTGATCAGATTCCATTTTACATGTTGATCAGTAAACAGAAAATTTCCAGACATGATCAGAGTGAGTTTTACCCTGACAATTTTTACTAATACTCACCAAATATTCATTAGGTGTATAACATATGTACAGACTGTGAACTTAATCTTAATTCATAAGTTATCTTGTAAGTTATCTTGTATACAAGTTATGTACAAGGAATGACCCAATGACTTTATCATACACCCTCTCTCCACTAAGTAGCGTCAAAACAGTAGCATGGCTTTAGCCTTCAGACACCATCAACCAATCAGAATTCAGCTATTGTCATACTATCTTTGTCCGTAATTAAAATTTCCAGTATCACCATAAACATAATGGATGGCAATGATTAATGGAAGTTTAAACTGGTCAGAAATAGTTAATCTGTGGAGACAGACTATAGAAACCAGACACATTTGTAACATCTTATTTCATTGGACATCATAAATAATATTAGTTCCAGTCTGCGATTCCCTCCCGTCATACGAATGTGGGACTTGAATGAAGAGGCATGTTATAACAACAACAAAACTTACCGGGTTAGTAGCTCCAAAAGCTTTCTTTATCAGTGCTACCAAAGGCTTAGCATTTATTCTGAAACAAGACGCCAAGTTAAAACCAATGGAAAATATGTACATTTACATCAATAATCTTAATGTGTGAAATGAGTAATGCTTTTACATCCAAAAGAACTAGCAGTTTACAGTATCTTTATTTCTCTAACAGCTGACCCATTTATTACCTTCAGATAAAAATGATAATCAAATTATTCAAAATCCATCTATTCCTTCAGGTCAATCAAACAAAGAGATAATGAGATAAATTTTTCATTTAGCAAGTTTTAAATGTTTCATCTTATGAATGAATTTCTGGTAAAAAAAGAATAAAAAAAAAAAAAGACTCATATGTATCCACACATACACCAAACACAACATTTGACAAATCTGATATGAAAAATAATTGTTCTTACTTGAAGCCAAACTCCTTTATTGCATTCCCCAACCAATTCATACACTCAGAATTGTTCTTTGGATTTTTCTGCTCAGATGCCAGTTTCATCACCTAAATCAAAATTTGTTAGAAAATATGAATCACATCAGACAACCTACTATGAAATAACAATGTAATGGTCCTACAAGTGTCTTAAATACTTTATTACTAACTGTTTCAAAGAATTATAAACAGACTACCTTAGATCTATCTAAAAATGAAGCTTTACACTATGACAGTCTGTAGTATACCTAAACTATTTCTTTGTTTACAACATGTTGAGGCAATTTTGCTACATTTAAACTATCAATCTTATACAATGTCAAGTAACACCATCTAAGCTACAAGTAACATACCTCCCTGCCTACAAAGTCCAGAGACAAGGCTTCCGCTATACAGCTTAGTGATTCCTGAACTGCCGAACCATTCTTCACATCACCTGCTTTGTCAACTAGGTCTGATAGGCAATACTCTGATGAAATGCGTGAAAAGTTGGCATTTTTGGCTAAATATCCAACTACCTCTACACGAATCTTTAAAACCTGAAAAGGACAAAGACAGAAGTTTTGAAAGCAGATGTGAATATAATGGAAACCAATAATTCATAATAGTATTATAATACTTCCACACCAATTAGGTCTCCTGGTTTGGCAAGTAAGTTGTGCAATCACCACTTCTTTGAAATATCCTGTGTAGGTTTAACTTATTCACGAATTCTGTCAGTAACTACCCTCACAAATGCTGCAGATACAATATCTATCAACAATGGTCTCAGTCCATGTTACATTTTCTGCAGTCTTAACAGGCTAATTATATTGTACCTATTACTGTTGATGATATTTGGGGACAAATGAGATAGATATTAATTAAAAACATAAAATCATAATACATTCTACAAAATAGAATCTCTGTGCTTGGATGGAATACTAACCTGGAAGAACCAAAATGGAATATTCTCATTTAGATGGAATGTTACCAAAGTATATCTACCATTAATTCATCATGTTAGAAAATGATTGAGGAGATCTGATTGATAGCTTACCTGGAAGTTGGTATCTTTGAGTCCTGGTTTCTTACAAACAGTTCTCAGCAGCGCCTGTCCTGGTATCGACTCTCTACTTAAACCTTTCAATGTCTAGAATGGCACCACAGAAAATTCACATTATAATTATTTTTCTTCTCATATCATTTTAATAAGCATAAAATTAAATTCAAATTCATCCACCTTTAACATTTATTTTCTAAGATTGCAACCTATGCAGATAAAGTAAATGTCAGATGAAGCAATAACGTTTGATGGTCAGTTATTACTTTCGAGACATAAAGTGGTGTGCTCATTTTCAACTATTGATAAGAAGACATCAATTTAAGTCAATTACAAACAGATAATCAGATATGTTCTAGTTATGCACAAAAAACTCAGAAATATAGCTAATGTGTAAATATAAGCAATTAACAGATTTAGATATAAATTAAACCAGAAAACACTTTTCAATTCAACATAAATCTAATACAGAATAATAACATATGAAGACCTCACCGATGCTACTTTCTCCATACCAGCTAACCTCTCCTTCCAGTTTGAGCTTGATAACTGGGCCACAGTCTCTGCAGACAATGTTGCTGTTGCTTTCTCCTCTACAGCCTCATCCTGTAAAGGATATCACACACAATAAATCTCAATCTAAATGGGTATTAAAACAGGATACATCAGCTAATAGTAGGTCTGTTCAACACATCAAGCTGTAGCTGAAAATGTCTTATTTTTACAAAACATGCTATCACAGTATAACTGTATATTGAAATATTAAGATTTTTTCAGACCAACAACATCACCATATTACATAACATACACATTATCATGTGTAATAAGTGGTTACTTCACTACATTAATAATTTTCTATAGAAAACTTGTTCCTTACCGACAAGGCATTTTCAGTGAACTCATTGCTCCCCTCTGCAGCACCTCCCTTTTTGTCCTTGCCTTTGGCAGCTGATTTTGCAGGTGCTTTCTTTTTTGGTGGCTGTAACAGTAATATTCAACAATGTTTTACAGTAATATTCAACAATGTTTTTACAGTAATATTCAACAATGTTTTACAGTAATATTCAACAATGTTTTACAGTAATATTCAACAATGTTTTACAGTAATATTCAACAATGTTTTACAGTAATATTCAACAATTTTTTACAGTAATATTCAACAATGTTTTTTATCAAATTCAACAATTTTTTTAATATTCAACAATGTTTTAAGAATGTTTTACAGTAATATTCAACAATTTTTTACAGTAATATTCAACAATGTTTTACAGTAATATTCAACAATTTTTTACAGTAATATTCAACAATGTTTTACAGTAATATTCAACAATGTTTTACAGTAATATTCAACAATGTTTTTACTGTAAATATTGAAAAACAACGAAATCCAGTTAAGAAGTTTTCTATCATTTTTATCAAATTTTTTTTAAAGAATGTTCATTTCTTATGATAATGAACCGTTCTCCATTTTTATTATTAAGAAATTGACATGTTGGAATATCATGTTACTCACCCCTCCTTTACTAGCTGCTGGTTTAGATGGGGCAGACTGAAAACACAAGGTAAGACAGCAGTAAGATTATAATTTAATGAATTCCAATCTTTACGTAATTTTTAAATATACAACTACCCAATATATTAATTCAATTCTAAGAGAGAATGGGTCAACAGTAAATCTGAGTATTTTATCTTTTACTAACAACAGTTGACTATACACTGTAGTAGGTAAGAATGCGATTAGTTATTTCTATTGAAAAATTTTGAACTTTTTGAAGTGAAAAAATGTGCTAGTACAAGTACGATCACTTTACTAAAGAAGTGTCCCTTACACACATTTTAGTACATTAGTGTTTTACATTATCTTTGAAACTGAACATGATAAATACCTTATTACACAGTAAACTAAAACAGACTGTGAGATATAAACTTACACTTGATTTAGCTGGGGCAGTACTAGGTCTCTGGACTGGTTTCGGTTCCTCCTTTTTGGGTTTAGGTGCAGCAGCTGCGCCTCCACTCCGAGGTTCTCCATAGATAGTGAGGAGGACAGATGCCTCACAGCACTCCTGAATCTATTGTACATAAACCACTCATGTCTATAACAGGTTTTCTCTTGTGACATTGATAGTGGTCTTAAATACATCACATCTGATAGTGTAAACAGTTACAAGTTCATTTGTATATTATTTGATGAAGTCTTAGACTTAACATTGTAGAAGTATTTTACATATAATTCAACCACCATTCACATTCCACATCATGAGTAGGGTAGTATAAGGGTATTTCCAACAAAAATTTCTATTGGTTTCTGTAAAAATGATTGACCCTTACATTGTAACACAATGGTTGTAAACACAGACTAAGAACTATTACTGAAAATACAATCTATTTTTGCCTTTTCCAGGTCCATTCTCTATAGAGCTTTCAAGTAGTTCAATGTTGTCTTACCTTTTGCATTTTGATGGCATCAACATCCACCAGAAATGGTGCAATGTGTTTTTCTGATACAACCTTCATAGCCATCCCCAGGGCTTCATATGAACGCTCACGTACTTCAGGGGCAGTGTCATTTGCCGTCTAAATCACAACAAAATCATATTAAAATCAAAGCAACTGGTTCAGTGACACAGATACAGAATTTCATTTAATTTTACACTTAAATGCATACTAAAGGATATCATTCACATGATAACTGAGAATATGAGAGTGAAGTTCTGATGTTACTGTAAGGTATGCTCTACGGTAATTAAAAAATTTTTAAGTCAAGAAAATGAAAAATTATCATTTCATTCCAATTTATGAGTGCTGAAACAAAATGCATGCTGTGCAGCATTAAATACCTTCAGCAGGCAAGAACAAAACAGCTTCAGTAATTTCTTGGGCAAGGTGCTGAGAGTTGACTTGCCAAAACATCTGGAAAGCAAATAGGCAGACTCTGCTTTGATAGAAGGGTTCTTGTTTTCTAAGGCTGTCACAATGTCTTCAGAAATAGCATCCAACGATGACTGTAACAAAGAGGGCATCATCTTAACAAATACACTTTAGTGCTATGCATAAGTTAGATGTATTGAAACACAAAATGTATTACCAGTTAATCAAGTATCTATAGGGTTAGGGCTGTAGCAGAATTAACTGTGTGAGGAGTGTTCAGGAGGCACTTAGTTTTTACCCCAAACACCCATACAATAAAATTCATTTAAATACCCAAGCATATACACAACAGATTTTTTTGCCAAATGCAATAACCCACACAATTGAATGGGTTAGTTCAAGCAACCCCAACAGAATTTTACTTTCATGTTAACACGACACCCACAAAATTCATTGTGCTGCTCCTTTTTCATAGCCAAATACACGTTGCTTTCCCGAGCAAAAACATTGTCAGTTTTTTCAAAAAAATTTATATAAAAATGTCAGTATATTTTCCCAAACTATGATAATGATCACTGAATATTTCCTATTTCTGCATGCATAATCAAACCAAATATAAATGTTTCAAAATGAAAAAAAAAAAAAATATCTCCACACATTTCAAACTTGGAAATTTTCAATTTACTAGCTACCATACGTATACTGGAAGTTTCAAAGGAATGCAGTGGATACAAGTAATCATTATATAACATTTTTACTTTATTTATTTTACATGACGTCATCATTTTCTCGTTATGTCTAATCCAGGTAAAAACCAAACATGCTTGTGGCAAGTCCCCTAAATTATACTGATATGATGTTGTATTGCTTGTATACCATAAGTCAGCTTGACTAAAGCTGACATGAATGCTTAGTAACGAATGTCCCCATTAAGGATTCCAGGCCATTTTGGCCAAGCCATGTGGCCACCTGGTGTATACTCTAGTTTTCGTTCACCATTTTTTTCAAAGCTGCTTTAGTTCTTGCATCCAACGAGAGTTTCAAAACCAACACGAGTTATTTCCCTTTAATACTTGGATCGGGAACCTATGCACTTTGGAAGAATAAATTAATGATTTAATTCAATCTCTTTACAAATCCAAACAAATGAATTGTTTGACCCACAAAATCTGATTTTCTGTACCAAGTTTATCCCAACATTTTTTGGTGTTCACATTTAACCAGTCACCTATATAATTCAATTTGTATTGGCACAAATCACACATAAAATGCATTTTAGTGTTTTCCCAACCACCTACAAAAAGCCCAACTTCTCCATACATTTAATTCTAAAACCACCCTAAGGCACTAGAAACAATGACAAATTGCATGTTCCAGATATATGATTTTGTACTTTTGAAATACATATAGAAACTGGGAGTCACAAAATACTTCCAAAGAAATATGAGCACATTCAATTTTCTGTGCTAAAGATAGTGTGTTGACCAACAATAACAGCCCAGTTAACAGACTGGACTACTTACACTAATAAAAGCAGCATCAGCAGCCTCGCGAAGTGCTACGACCACCGTCTGTTTCTTCTCCTTAAATTTCTCTAAGATAACTTGTATTGTCTGCAAAAAAAAAGGGGGGCATTGTTTGGTCAATATTTTGCACAAATATTTGTTACTGAAACTGAGTATTCATTATGTATCATTTCAATATACTAAGAAACACATGTGAAACAATTGTTAAGCAATTTCTGCATATAGTACTGGTGACCTAAAAAACACATCTGTAAAACAGGGCAATGTTCAAGTCACAGTAACATGAAGATCATATCAGTTACTTTATCACTACAGGATTATACTGGTTAATGTTACAATGTCAATGTTACTATGGTAACACTACTGGTTCATGTGATCAATGTCAAGGTTACTATGGCAACACTACTGGTTCATGTGATCAATGTCAAGGTTACTATGGCAACACTACTGGTTCATGTGATCAATGTCAATGTTACTATGGCAACACTACTGGTTCATGTGATCAATGTCAATGTTACTATGGTAACACTACTGGTTCATGTGATCAATGTCCATGTTACTATGGTGAAACTACTGGTTCATGTGATCAATTTTACCATGTCAGTGTTACTAAGGTAACACCATTGGTTATTGTTATGTCAATGTTACTATGGTGACACTACTGGTTTATATTATGTCAGGGTTACTATGTTGCCTCTACTGACGCTTTTACTATGCTTTCACTACTAATCAATGTTACTCTGGTGACAATACTGGCTCATGTTACCATGGTGATACTAAAACTCCATGTTGCTATATTGATACTACTGGTTACTGTCACTATGATGATACTACTAGCTCAGGTTACTTGATACTACTGGTTACTGTCACTATGATGATACTACTAGCTCAGGTTACTTGATACTACTGGTTACTGTCACTATGATGATACTACCAGCTCAGGTTACTTGATACTACTGGTTACTGTCACTATGATTTTACTACTAGCTAAGGTTACTTGATACTACTGGTTACTGTCACTATGATGATACTACTAGCTCAGGTTACTATGCTTATACTTGTCACTTCAATAGTATAAGATCAAAGTTATAGCATAAGATCAATGTTACTCTGAAGTGCCAAAGTTTAAAATCAAAATTCATGTGTGTAACTACTATTACTTACATTTAAAGCATAGGGTGAATATTTCTTGCGGAGACCTTTGGCAATTCCTGCCATGCATTTGGCACCAATGGCGACTAACATTACATTTGTATCTTTACCAACCACCTGTCAAATAAAAAGTATTGAAGTTATGTTCAATCAATAACTATGAAAATAATCATTCTAGGAGAGAAATCTTTTTCATGTGCTCAAATCTCATTTACTTTATCTTTTATTTATGATAAATTACGTTACAGGCTCAATTGTACACTATGACCCCAAGGAAGGAATCTTCACACAGAATAAACCTACTTTAATCAAAGTCTTCACCAAACCACCAAAATCTCCATTTGCAATGCGCTGATTCTCAGTCAGCTTCTGGAGAGCTTCCAGCACTTCTTTACGTTCCTGCCATTTTTTAGCTTCCTACATATACAAAAAAGAAAAAAAAAATGACACGCTGAGGAAAACTGACTTTGCAATTTTAAGGTTTTACATATATCATGTTGTACAAACTGCAGAAGTGTTGTAATCAGACTTATGTTTGACACATCTTTTATTGTCATCCTACCATACTTTGTAAACAAGAGATCCCAGAGGGATCTTGGCACCCACGGTATGGTCTTTATTTACTCAAAATCAAACAGGCAAAAGAAGTAGAGACCGAAGGGAACATACATATGAAATTTGTTTACAGACAGACAGACAGACGAACAGACCACAACATAGGGCAATTTGAATAGCGATCAGAATGAAAGTAAAGCAAAAGTAAAACAATGTATATCTACATAACATAGCATATCTTCCTCCTTCTTAAACTGTGAGAAATAAAACAGACAAGAAGGCTAAAATTAGATTTTTAAATCTTTTCTTATGAAATTGTTAAATGTTTTGATTTTGCCAAAATTCTGAAATTTTTTTTGTCTTTTATAACAATTTACAATTATGACTTCTGATGCATTTTTTATTAAAAAGTGTAACAAGAAACACAATGATGTTATGGTAAGCTTGAATCTCCTTTATAGAAAGTGAACAAACCCTCCTTCATTTCACTCATTGAAGGAATACATTAACCCCAAGAATGGCATGTTCCTGCGTATAGAGCGCACCCCCCTTTTTGACACAACAGTTTTAGCTTAAAAAAGTGTGCATTATACGCAGAAATTTACGGAATACCATATATCGTAACTCCAACTTGGATTAGAACTTACCACTTTGTCGTAGTAATCTTTTGGAAGTTGAGCTAGTATGTCCACTTCTGGCATCATTTCATATGCATCAACAGCATCTTCTCCTTCATCTCCACCTTAATGAAAAATTGTACATATAGTATTACTATTTACACTTAACAGTAATATCTAAATACTAGGTATATTCTTTTTTGTGTCTGGATTATGTCTTTTAACCTTCTGTATAGGGAAACAAAATTTTAGGCTGTAGATTCTGGACAATGAATGAATGAGTGTGATGTCAGTCAGCATATCTGTATTAACAAGCCCTATTGTATGTTTCAACTAAACATTAATCCCTCTGTTTATACAGGTGCACAGGGGAATGTTCAAATTTATAAAGAATAAGGCAACAAAACTTAAAATACATTGTAATCTGCTAACCGTAAATCTACTGTTCTATTTACGTTCTATGTGTTTGGCTGCAGGAAACCAGAAGGAAACGAGATACGTTTATGAATCACTATGCCCCTGGTTGCAACGAACTTCTGCAGTTAGACATTAAAACTGCACTGTGTAAGATATGTGCTAATTGCATGTACACTTCGTGAAACACTTGGGTCTTCATTTATGGTAATGATTTGACAGTTTTAGTTCAATAGTTATGGCCATTGTTGAAATATTTCAAATGTAGGTCAAGGTCACATGGTCAAAAAATTTGGTACCACCAGAAAGGTTTTGTCACAAGGAACTTACATGCCAAATATGAAAGCCCTATCTCTTATGGTCTTAGTTATGGGCAAGACTACATATGACAACACGCAAACAGACAGCACAAAACAATGAATATGCTCTCAATCTTTTGATCAGGGGGCATAAAAACAAACGATAACTACTACACTGATACAGATTAATAAAAATACTAGTTTGTCATAGACACATTAATTTATGATTAACTGCATTTACTTGATATTCCTATATACAAACTGCAAGTTTTATTTCATTCTATTTTATGGCATACACTGTAACAGTGTGGTTCATGTATAGATATGCTTCAGTGACGTTGCTGTGGCCTTCACCTTTTTCGAAAACCAAATCAGTGCTATCAATGTTATATCAATGAAGAATACCCATGAATACGTATTTACTGAGTTCTATTTTTAAATACTGTTAACAGGACTTGTTACTCTTAATAAAAATATGAATACAATATTTGTATTACTTTAGGTATTGATTTTACAAAGTTATTTGTACGAGAGTGGGTGTATATCCACATGTGTGCTGCAATGACAAGTATTTAACATTATATTTTTTGTTCTCTATTCATTCCTTTAACTGTTTTTTTAAATAAAACATATTGTTAGTCACTGTGTATAAAAGGATGAAATACTTTTATTTATTTATTACTTATTCATTACTGTCACATCATGTTTTGAGGCAGGTATCCTGTAGGTCAGTCTCCACTACACAATGTCAGTCATAGAAACCAGACAAAGTCGAACCATTGGATATCAATTTTTCTGGTTTTACTGTACATCGATCGGTAATGACAAAATTTTTATCAAATAGATTATAAAATTCCAATATCTTTTTATAAATAAAACATTGTCAACATAGTAATATCACAGGGAGTTTAAGGGTATTAATTGTCTGTACAACATGTTTTGTTGTACAATTTACATTAGGATACTGCATCATACCTTGAATAACAATACTAACCATCATCATCACCACCCCCACCCTCAGCAGCCTGCTCTTCCATCTTGGCTTTGAGTTCCTGCTGTGATTTCATAAAACGTTGCTGATGTGGTTTCTCTCTGGGCTGTTTCTCAAACTCTGCTTCCAATTCTGTCACCTATGATGTGAAGAAATGTTGTTACATATAACATCTCTATACAACATATAATCACAACTGCTTTGAAAGAGTCATGATGGGTTGGAATGCAGACCATATATTTTCTGTCTTCATAAGTAATTTAAAACTGGTAACACATGGACATAATAGTGATGTGGTTTGAAACAATCTTTGGCAAAAGTTATTTTAAGGATGTGAGACCACAAACCGTTTACCTGCTCCACTCTCCTATGTCTATATTCCTGTTGATAATTACCTGTACAGGTTTGAAATTGGTCATCATGGGTTTAAGTGCAGGTCCTATCCAACGATGAATCTCTATCACCAATAATTTGGTCTCTTCTCGTACGTTTTTGTCTCTGTCCTCCAGGAGCTTAGGCAGAAACTTCATCAATGGTTTAATAGGCATTATTTTATTGCTGAAGTCCCTGGAATAATATACACAAAATACATTACTTATAAAGCCCAAAGAAAAACCAGACCTTCTAACTCCTACAAGTAAACAATTACAGTATTGTTCAATTCTACTGAAATAACAACTAATTTCAGGGCAGACAACAAAGTCACTAGAAAATTAACATTATCAGAATTCTGCAAAAATTGCGTAAACAGAATCAATTTTCTGAATTTTAGAAATAATTCCCTATCCACAATGATACAACAATGTTTCAGATCAAATTTGGTTGATATTCACCCAAGCATTAAGGAAAAGTAGTGTTTTAAAGCAAATTACTGACTAACTTCCCCATTTTGGGTCCTGTCCCCAGTCCCTAGAGGTTGAATCACAACTTTCTGAATTTAGAAAATGATAACCCACCTGCAACGATGTTTCAAATCAAATTTATCTAGGCATTAAGAAGGAGTAGTATTTTGAAGCAAAATATTGACTAACTTCTCCTTTTGGAGCCCAATCCCTTAGGAAAGAATCTTATTTCTTAATTTAAGAATTATTTGCCAACATGTACTGTTCTTACTGACAATATTTGAATAATATCAATTTAAGCATGACAGACAATAAGTATTATGAAGCAAAGTATTGTATATCTACTCTTTTAAGGCCCCATCCCCAGGTCCCTCAGGATCAAATCAAATTTCTGTATTTGAAAAATGATCCCCCAACCCCAATGATGTTTCAGACCATATCTGGTTGAAATCCACCAAAAAGGCATTTAGCAGGAGTAGTGTTTTAAAGGAAAGTTTACTGTAGGCCCTCCTGGTCAGACAACTTAATAAAGCTATTGTATAAACTGAATTTCATAGGAACAAGCGATCAATCAACAATCACATCCCATGTCCTGTACTCAAAAGATTTTCAAGAGAAAATTTCTAGAAATACTTAAATTTTACAGTGCATGACCCATTGTTTTAGCAATAAAGTTGAAAAGGACTAATGAAAAAACTTGGAGATTGATCAGTTACACATACCTTAGTGCCATTCGCATACATTGTATGCAACCAACCACTATCTTGGGCTGTTTGTTCTCCAAGCCTTGCAACAAGCATTCCTACAAACCAGTACAAAATATTTTGAATCAAAATCTCTTGACATTCCACAATAATAAAATTAGCTTCCTTATTTCTTCATCAAAACAACACAGTAAATATTTCAATAATCTGAACTTTATTTTTCTGTACTTATGTTTTATAAATACTATGAGAAATCAAGCAAGTTGGATCATTTGATGGTGTACTCACCTGGACAACATCCGCTTTCTCAATCTCGATGTATTTCATGATGATCTCAATGCCCTTTTCTTTTGTCTTCTGTTTGCTGGCATTGAGACACTTGGTAATAACCGCAGACACAACCTCGCCAGCCGTTCTACAGGTAAAGCGGTATATTGATGATTTATGATATAATATGACATTTTTAACAGCTTGTCAACACATAAAAAGTCATTAGGGTCATCAACCAGTAAAACACACAGTGATCCAAAAGGGAATAACATTATACAAACCAAAAGGTAAAAGACAAATGTTAACAAGAGATCCCAGAGGGATCTTGGCACCCACCATTTGAGGATCTGTTTTCAGTTCTTGAAGATTTGTTTATTTTTTTTTTGTTTGTTACAGGTGTTGTAAATGTTCATGAACTGGTCTTCATTGAATGTACTCAATGATGGCACAAGATATTTTTATTAAGCACTTATTAGCAAATATCATTTGAAAAAGATCCGAAAGTATTATTAGATAGCAGTCAGTTACAGGTGGATAATAGACAATATGCTTGTGCTGTATTACTGTCGACATCCAAGATGGCTGCCTGTGGGCCACCTTGATTTCAAATCAGTCCAAAAAAGGTACAATGCACAACTAGGGACCAAGGGAAACCAATATCTATGAAATATCAGAAGGATCCATCCAGTACTTCCTCAGACATAGCAGTAACAAGATTTTACTCTCAAAATCCAAGATGGCCGCCTGTCAGCCATCTTGATTTCGGATCAGTCCAAAAAGGTATAATGCACAACTTGGAACCAAAGGGAACCTGCATATGAAATTTGAGAAAGATCCATGCAGTACTTCCTCAGATATAGCAGTAACAAACTTTTACATTCAAAATCCAAGATGGCCACCTGTCGGCCATCTTGAATTCAAATCAGTCCAAAAAAGGTACAATGCACAACAAGGGACCAAGGGGAAACTGCATATGAAATTTGAGAAAGATCCACCCTGTACTTTCCAAGAAAAAGCAGTAACAAACTTTTACATCCAAAATCCAAGATGGCCACCTGTCGGCCATCTTGAATTCGAATCAGACCAAAAAAGGTACAATGCACAACAAGGGACCAAGGGGAAACTGCATATGAAATTTGAGAAAGATCCATCCAGTACTTTCCAAGAAATAGCAGTAACAAACTTTTACTTCCAAAATCCAAGATGGCTGCCTTTTGGCCATCTTGAATTCGAATCAGTCCAAAAAAGGTACAATGCACAACTAGGGACCAAGGGGAACCTGCATATGAAATTTGAGAAAGATCCATCCAGTACTTTTCCAGAAATAGCGGTAACAAGAATTGTTTACGGACGGACGGACCACGGACGCAGGGCGATTTGAATAACCCATCATCTAATAGATGGTGGACTAAAAATGTTAAATGGGTCAATTAACACAAATTATTAAAATGGTATGGCATAGTCTATTATATGTATAAACATCTTTTGGTAATGCAGAATTTTACAATTCTCACAACCTACCCAGTCATTCTACAGGTAGAGAAGTACTAACACAACCTATCCAGTCATTCTACAGGTAGAGAGGTACTAACACAACCTATCCAGTTATTCTACAGGTAGAGAGGTACTAACACAACCTATCCAGTTATTCTACAGGTAGAGAAGTACTAACACAACCTACCCAGTCATTCTACAGGTAGACAAGTACTATAGCACTAACACAACCTACCCAGTCATTCTACAGGTAGACAAGTACTATAGCACTAACACAACCTACCCAGTCATTCTACAGGTACAGAAGTACTATAGTACTTACACAACCTACTCAGTCATTCTATAGGTAGACAAGTACTATAGTACTAACACAACCTACCCAGTCATTCTACAGGTAGACAAGCACTATAGTACTAACACAACCTACCCAGTCATTCTACAGGTAGACAAGCACTATAGTACTAACACAACCTACCCAGTCATTCTACAGGTACAGAAGTACTATAGCACTAACACAACCTACCCAGTCATTCTACAGGTAGACAAGCACTATAGTACTAACACAACCTACCCAGTCATTCTACAGGTAGACAAGTACTATAGCACTAACACAGCCTACCCAGTCATTCTACAGGTAGACAAGTACTATAGCACTAACACAACCTACCCAGTCATTCTACAGGTAGACAAATACTATAGTACTAACACAACCTACCCAGTCATTCTACAGGTAGACAAGCACTATAGCACTAACACAACCTACCCAGTCATTCTACAGGTAGACAAGTACTATAGCACTAACACAACCTACCCAGTCATTCTACAGGTAGAGAAGTACTATAGTACTAACACAACCTACCCAGTCATTCTAAAGGTACAGAAGTACTAACACAACCTACCCAGTCATTCTACAGGTAGACAAGTACTATAGTACTAACACAACCTACCCAGTCATTCTATAGGTAGAGAGGTACTAACACAACCTACCCAGTCATTCTATAGGTAGACAAGTACTATAGCACTAACACTACCTACCCAGTCATCATACATGTAGACAAGTACTATAGCACTAACACAACCTACCCAGTCATTCTACAGGTAGACAAGCACTATAGTACTAACACAACCTACCCAGTCATTCTACAGGTAGACAAGCACTATAGCACTAACACAACCTACCCAGTCATTCTACAGGTACAGTAGTACCATAATACTAACACAACCTACCCAGTCATTCTACAGGTAGACAAGTACTATATCACTAACACAACCTACCCAGTCATTCTACAGGTAGACAAGTACTATAGTACTAACACAACCTACCCAGTCATTCTACAGGTAGACAAGTACTATAGTACTAACACAACCTACCCAGTCATTCTACAGGCACAGAAGTACTATAGTACTAACACAACCTACCCAGTCATTCTACAGGTAGACAAGTACTACAGAACTAACACAACCTACCCAGTCATTCTACAGGTACAGAAGTACTATAGTACTAACACAAAATATTTGCGGTATCATCCATATATTTAGTTAAGTTTCTTTTTACGATGAACATGTTTCATATATCTAAATAAACTAGTATAGGGTCAGACAGTAAAATATATGTAAATGAATCTATAACATCAGGGAAATAAGTAAAGTATAGCTGGAGTTCAGCAGTAAGATAAATATGCTTGCAGATCTAAATTAATCAAACTGATCTGGAAAATATTTATTGAAATGGATCAAGGCTGTTGTTTAATCAATGTTTCCCTTAGGATCGAACCCATGGCCTCTGGCTTACTGGTTTTAATGTTCAATGGCTGGGTTCCATAGTTGGTGACAGCAATACTTGCAGAGCAAGGCCAAGTATTTCTATCAATAGGTTTAAATCCCCATCTATCTATGACTATAAATAGATTGCACATCTTATATAGATCATGGCTACAGTAAAAACTTGCAAAGCCCACAAACTTTACCCTTATTTTCACCTGATATGTAAAGCACAATATCTGTTACTATGGAATATCAAAATGTTCCATATACTATACTTTGGTTCACATGCATTGCAGAATATTTAACACGACTGAATTTGTAATATGAACACATTATGTTTAGTTACCTTTGGATTTTAAACACAATATCAGAGATATACATCATAACTTGTTACAAAATATCTACCTTAAAACCTGTTTAAATGTCTTAATCATTTGCAATTTGTATAACTATGTACTATAAAAAAACTTTTAATTGGGAGTTTCACATTTCAGGACCTTTAAACTTGCTATAACATGCCAGCCAGCTATGACACTGCATAATTATAAATAAACATAGTAGTTACCTGTTTAATGAATACCAATTTGTGTGTAATTATAAAAAGGTTTAATCCTAAAAGGCATGAAAGGTCTGTAATCTTAAAATTTACATTGCTTACCCTGTTGGTAAAGTTAAATTAATATAGAATGCCTTGCTATTAATCTTATTGTTTGAATGAAACAGATAAAGTTGATTGGCTCATTATAATGAATATCTTCAGCTCAGAACAGGCTCTTTCAGGTTCTGATACTTTAATCATACCCTACATTACATTTTCTCATCAAATGCAATATTTTACACAACTACAACAATCTATCCTACTTCCTTCATACCATTAAAAAGACAAGCCTGATTGTCAATAAATGTATCAGGTTAATGTGCATCTTTTGAGTTCAGAATTTCGACTGTATGGAAAGATTTTAAATCTTTCCACTTTGGATCACTAACTTCCCATCTGTGTTCAGTTTTATCCTCATAGAGATACAATTTTATTTATACTATGAGTCTCCTTCATCAAACAATGAAGTATTTTTACATAGAAAATCTTATCAAAACTTCCTTCATTCTCATGGTAGGATGATTTTAAAGTTTCCCTATTTCCCAAACCTCAAACCTCGGCTACTGCAGTGTATTGTTGCTATCTTCTGTTTTGACATGTACAACAAGATCTTTCACAAAAAGATGTTCTAGTGTTCATGAGAATCACTTCAAAATCGTGATCCAGGATCAACTTTTATCTAACCATTCTCATTGGCTTATTTAGAATTTGGAAAAATAGCCATTTGGAAAGGGGGATTTTATTTTACCTTTTTTGAGAAAAAGTGAAAATTGTGGTCCTTGAGTAATTCAAGGACAGGTCTACAGGGTTTTCCATAAGAGCTGGTCGGTGGCTCTTATGGAAAACCCTGAACCTGAAATGTTAGGTTTATAAATGTACAATATAAACAAAAGCATTAATGGAAAGCTTCAGCCATGAAATTATGTACTTTTTATGTCTTTAGAAATGGACTTCTATTTCATAGAGATTCTTATAAAATGTTTTCATGATAAAGCTGAATAGATCAATTAAAGAGTGCCAATTGTTCAGACAAAGTCATAAGTAAATGACAAACAGAGGATTAATAAAAAACACACAAGGAGGCTGTACATCAAATATGGTAAAAAGATCTTCCTACAGACAAAGGATTCAAAGCTTTTCGAACAATTCCTTTTGGATTCTATCTGCACTCAGTATTCCTCACTCTAATGGCAGAAATATGCTACACTAATACTTTTCAAATTTATACCAGAAAGATTATCACACTGCCTATCAGTGATGATATTAGCATAGGAACGTACTGAAAATTAAGGTATAATGAATAACCACCATCTCTTTACACTGGTAATCTACTTGGGCAAAGTCAAGAATTTCATATGTGTAATTAAATATTATTTATCAACATTGTTATTTTGAGATTTTAACTGTCATATTAATGTAAAGCAATTAACATTTACTACTTCAGGAAAATACATGTTTTCCTTTTATTTTTATAAACTAAAACACTTACAAGGAAGGAATGCATGAATTTACAATCAAGGGGTTGTCAATGAAGCAGAATGTGCTTACCCTTCTGAGAAACCTGGTCTTATTCTCCTTGTAATTTTTCAGGGTTCTCTTCGTACATTTTTTTTCTGTTTTTTTTTTCTTTCTTTTTATATCATTCTTTTATTCATTTTTTGTCCTAGTTTCATCAAATTTGTGTTTGAATTATAATTTTGTTAACATGCCTGTATTTGCTTTCATATTATTGTTCAAAATTAAATAAATATGAATACATCAATTAATGTCTTAATTTATGATTATGTTCAAACATTTGGCATAAACTTTTTAAAACAGTACTATCAAAATTACATACTTATTAGCGATTGCAGCATTATCCACGAAGACTAGCACTGCATCCAATGCTTTCTCTTGAGCTACAGCATTGCTATCTGTTACAAATTTCTTCATTAACCCAGCATATTTAGAAAATTCTGAACTCTTTTCATCTGTTATACCACCAAAGAGTTTGGTCACCTCTTCATAGCCTGTCAATCTTGCTCTCCAAACCTAAAACCAAAGTTGAATATTTTTTACCACAAAATTCATTAATTTTGACATTCTTATCAAAAATATTTTCACTTCAAATTCTGTAACTTCATCATTATTTTACCTTGCAACTAGCACTGCCAATGTCGGTATACTGCCACACATAATTATGCTGTATTTGGCAGCTTTATTTTAGCATGTGCGTTAATTCAACCAAATGACTTATGAAATTACATAAAATTACTTTTAACAATAAAAATAACTGTTGAAATAAACAATTTTATATGTTGTATTGAACAAGGTTATTTACAAAAATTCATAAAATCGCTGTCATATTCATTGAAGTCTGGAACTGGTACATCATCAGGCAAAATTCAGTATAATGACAAACTCAGGTAAACAAAGATGGTACCACCAAACTGTTAAAGTTTTGACAGTCTGATTTTCAATCATTCTCAATATTATGCAGATTACATTCACTATTGCTCTCTATGCCCCTGGAATATATCATGAAAAAATTGAAGGTTCCATGTGTGACATATTGTGGACAAGATAAAAAGACTAGTGTACATCAAATGAATCTCACATAAGGTATTGTAATGACTTTGAAGTTGGCTTTTACTCTTTTGTAATCTATAAAAAAGAGAGAAACTGCCTCTGGTCAGATTTTTCCAATAGAACCAATCAAATTACTTCGCTTGTGCCTTCAATTTTGCCATGACACGTTCCACAGATGAGGAGAGAGAGAAAGTGGTCAAAACCCCTGGAGTATCAACAATAATTTTCAATCAATATTGCAGGATAAATAGAATACATTGTCAGTATATTTTAAGACACTGATCACTTTATAAATGCAATGAAAGTCAGCTTTTACTTGGCTATAACTGTTATCACTGCTTACCTTATGAGTGCATTTCTCCTCTGTTGGGAGTTTCATCCATTCTGAATCGTCCCCCATTTTTTCAATTCGTTTCTGGTTCCAGGTACTCCTACTTTAAATCAATGTCATTAGGCATCTGAAACATGAAAAATACTTGATATACTAGAGGAGTCTACACTGCAAGATATCAGCCTACATTTCAATACTAGAACTAAGTTCTTCTAACCATATGTCCATAATTAGAACACTTACAGTTTCACTTGTACACGAATATTTGATAGATTGAATGAAAATATATTTTTCATTTTGTCCCATCCTTTTGTATTTTTACGTATTTGTTAAATGTATAAACTAAATGAAAAAATGCATTTTGTATGTCAAGGTGGGGGAGGAGGGCTTACAATCACAACATATTAAATGATCATGAGTCATCAAGTTAAATGTCAGCGTATATGCTACAGCAATGTCTAATTGAGACACTACTGGTGATACTTTGCTCGACTCGCTTAAGGTGTCAATCAGTAATATGCCATATTGGTATTTTGATAAGCATGAAATACAATAGACATTCAGTGACATTCACTCATCCATCTATTAAAAACTAATTAGTCTAAAAAGGACCAATTTTGTTCAGTCAAACGATGTCAAAGCATATATACAATTAAACTCGCATTTATACATATTTGATACTTCATATGCAAACTAAAAGTCGTAATTTATGTCATACATGTTTACGAAAACTGGATAAGACAATCAATGAAAACTAAACATGCGAAACCGCTTTTCTGGAACTGTCAAATCTGTATAATTGACATTTTATCAAGCTTTCCTCCATAACATTTCATTAATGATTTATGGAATGAACAACAGATCGCACAATGTCACTCACGTGTGAAAAAAGACCACCACGTTCTCTTATAGAATGATATCACCCTTTGAGGGTCTCTTCAGCAGTTGCAAAAATTTGAAAATCGGCTGTCATGACCCAGGGATTGGATAAACTTTACTTCCGGTAGCGCCATCTACTGGCGAGCACTTCGGGCACTGCCTGAATATTATTTCATTTACATTTTAATACAAATTATATTAGGGTTTTAAACCACTATGTTTTCAAATGTTAAGGAATTTTGTTACATTAGATACTTTATTTGTAATTCATTAATATTTTGCATATAAATCTGTTCGTGACTGCAATTCAATATGTCTGCCTCCAGAATGGTGATATCGCTGCACGTGTGAGCGAAAGGCTTAAGACAAGAAAATGAAACATATTGGGTTTGAAGAGGCTATGCAAATTATAGAAACTGATAAATATGCCCAATTTGAAAAAGTGACAACAACTAAACACATTGTTCTTTCTCCAAAGTACCTGGGTCGTGTTAAAACTGGAATAGTGGAACAGCTGAATTCAGAGTTGAATTTTTCCTCAGAAAGGTAAACAGAAATCGCGAGGAATATTTCATTTTATATGACATTTTTTTTCTCTTAAGAAACTGCATTAAATTATCAAAATTAACGCTTGTATGCACATCGGAGTGGTAATGTCCACTGTTACTTATATGATGCGCCATCTGTCACGAATTCGTTAGTTTATTTACCCGCAATTTTTAAGTAAACTTTTTGGGGAAATCGGAATAAGATGATGGACTGTTCATATTGCTAGTCCTTTTATCGCCGTTTCTTTACTAAATATTTAGGATTAATAAAAAAATCTTCCTCAAATCCTGTTTCAACTTCAATTTTGAGGTTGATTTGGAAAAAAGATGGTCTGCACTGCACTTTATCTTTCAGTCCACGCAGGCTCCCTTCTCTCATAGATCTCGCATACTCTTTGTCTGAAAACTGCCATATTTTTAATACAAGTACATGTACATTGTGAGGTAGACAACAAATTCTGTCTCTGAAATGATAATTTAATGTCAATATTCACATTTCTTATGCTGTCATAAATAGTCTGGATGCCCAGTATAGCCCACCTGTACCAGATGATGCCTGACTGATACAGGTATAACTAGTATCATAGCAGAGCATTTGAATGTTCAAATCTTAAGTGGAGAGAGGCAAAAAACACATTGCAATAGCTTATAGTGAACCATATGGTCTGATGAGGTTAGTAAAGCAAATAAACTTGTTGAACTATGAAAAGAAACCAAGATTCATGAGTATGTTGTTGGAATGTTTAATTCTCCATGATGGATGCATTTTCTACCAGTTATATAAACACCTACATACTGTCTCCAAAATGAGTATGATAAGCAAAAATGTAAATACTAAAAACAGCATGATAAACACGATTACTGACATTAAATTATCATTTTAGGGACAGAAATTTTCACTGTAATCTTTTTAGGTGGGATACTCCTATAACATAGGAGACCACCGGTCGGCTAATTTATCATCGAATGATATTGTACCAACTGCAGCCGGTTATTTCTCATGCAGTATTTCACTGATGCTCATTCTGCTCGATTTCATCGCAGAAAGAAATATTCAACTATCTCTATTTATATCATAAAACTTCATGACAACTATGTGTATATAATCCTGGTAAAATACCAGCCACAAAATACCACTCGGCTAGAGAGAACTTCCCTTTAGCTCGATCGTCAGACTAGTAAGCCAGAGATCCTGGGTTGGAATCCTAGTGGAGGCATTGAAATATATAGTGACCTCTGTTACATTGGCGCCCATGTAAGGACTAGGAAATAATACTTAGTATTACCTTAACAAGTACCGCTGTAACCCCTGGATACTCAAGGGTGAGTTATTTCCTGGAGGGGGATTATGTAACCCTGGTAAAATACTAGCGGCAAAATACCACTCGGCTAGATAGAACTTCCCTTTAGCTCGATTGGTTGTGCACCAGACTAGTAAGCCAGAGATCCCGTGTTCGAATCCTTTTAGGCATTGAAATAAATAATGACCTCTGTTACATGTACTTGATTAGGTACATTTTATGAAGTATTAATTATACCATTCAAATGTTCCATTCACAATCCTATAGTTCATAGATATATTTTATCCCAGAAGGAACTCTAGCTGCACTCCATTACTTGGTCGACCTAGCTTTCAAACCTGGCAGATTTCCATCAATGCAAAATATGAACTTACGCATTTTGGCAAAATGATCCAAAAGGAAAGCAATTTTTTTTTATTTACCTTGTACTTAATTGTATTTCATTTTTTAATCAACATGACATTTTAAACTCTAGTAAGCAGAGAGTGCAAATGGTTTTTTTTTTCTTCTTTATATTGGAAAAGTAAAAATAGTATTTCTTAATTTTTTGCATGAAAGAATATGTGATTCTGGCATGGAACATTTGAATTTATGTCAAAATGTCCAATGATATTAAAATCTGAACTTTGAAAACTTGATAGTCAAAATCTGGTAAATCATCTTTGGAAAGTTTGAGGTTACAAGGCACTTGTCATAATTTTCTCACTGTGTAAACAATGTTGGATTAACATAGGGGTGGAATGTACCATATGATCAAATACCACACTCCAGTAATCTTACTACCCTATCACACCACAATTTGGACCATTTAAGCAAGCAAGGTTTTGGGGTGTGTCCCCTGACAGAAAAGTCAATGTCCATAAAATTGATTCTTACAACTTGCCTGAAGCAGAGACTGGGTATTCCATTGTTAATATGCAGGGAATAAATAGGATGCTCAGGGGGAGATTATGATATTCCATTGTTAGTATAAGGGGACTGGATTTCCAGGTGTGATTGTGATATTCCATGGTCAGTATATGGGGACTAGATATCCAGGGTGAGGTTATGATATTCCATTGTGATGGCACTATAAAAGCTTCTGAGTGGTTCCATCTTTTTTCCCTGTTTTTCTCAACTTCGTTTTACATCACGCTTTGTTCGCTATCATCCGCATTGCATAAAATTTTGACATTTCAAACTTCTTCTCAAGTTCCACTAGTGGCATTGAGCTCAAACTTGCATGAAATGATCCTGAGTTGGTCCTGACCAAGGTTTTGTTATTTTTTGAAGGTGTCCGAAATCCAAGATGGCCGCAATCTTGAAAAAAAAAATTAAAACATCTTCTCCAGTTCCACAGGTGCCATTGAGCTAAAAAGTGGTATGAATGTTAAGAACAGGTAGCCAAAAAAGTGTTGTGAATTTATAACCTTGTCAAAACTTCAATACGGCAGCCAGGGAGGCCATTTTGTAATGTGATTGTACAATCATGGTTTTTCTGTGCAACACATATTTCAAACTTCTCAAGTTTCACCACTGGGATTGAGATCCAATTTTATTGTCCAAAAAATAGGTAACATTTCAAACAGTTTCTTACTCCTCACCAAAACTACCATCTGCATCATGGAAAACAGCTTCTAAGTAAGATTTCATTCAAAGAAGAAAAAATATCCCTTCTCCCTGCTGAAAGTTTTTGTAATCGAATGACCGTTAATGTCAGTGAGCCTCTTGTTCCAACTGATATTAATCAGTCTTGTTGGCCCAGATTGAAGGCAAGTGACCCCGTCCCTTTTCATGAACCCATGACATGTAGGTAAAGGTAAGTGCATTACCACCATCTGATCATCCTTTAATTGCCTCCTTCACATCAATCTTAGCTGTTGCTGAAAATTTCCAAAAATTAAACCCTTTGCATACCATATAACATATTGTATGGGGCTCATACAAATGTATAAAAATATCTCGCATAAAGTTGAAATCTGGGTATAATGTTTTAAACACAACTCACATCTAGATGTGAAATGCATTGGTCCAGCACCATTTTGATCACTACTGGATTTATCTCAAGTGCATTGTTTATAGAATTCTGTCACTGTATCATGCTGGAGTTATCTTTCTTAGCACAATAGCTGGTTTGAGGACATGTTTAATCTAGACTTCAGAAGAATTACACAGTAATGTAAACAAGTACATTCCATCACTTTAATCATAGTTTCAAGATCAATGATAATAAAGAATAATAACAATATTGTTAAACTTCTATCCAGACTTCATCAAATTGTAACGTATAAATCTCAAACAAAAGGAAAAACAATGGCTGCAATCGTTTCCATGTAGATATAGTCCTATAAATGGAAATCTGCTCATCAACTTCGCTAAATTACGTACAGTAATTGAGAAATGGCTGCAGTCCATTACAGGTATACTCATATAGTCTTAGCATCGTGTATGGTCATGCACATATTAATTTATGAGTATGAAGAATAAAGCTGAAGATTCAGTCGCCGCATATATAGTTATATAATTCATTTACTTTACAGGTTAATGCGAGTCAATAATCAAGCTTATATAGACATATTCTCCTGTATTTGTAATTATATAATGTTTGTTTTTATTTCAGCTTGGATGGTATTCTTATTGCGTACAGCAATATTCATCTTCTACAAAGACTAGGACAAATATTAGATGAACAGCCCTACATCCATTTAAACATTCAAGCAGATTTTATTGTGTTCAAGCCTAAGGTTGGCTGTTTACTTCGCGGTGTGGTGAACAAAGTTAGCAAGAATCACATCGGTTGCCTCGTTCACAACTGCTTTAATGCATCCCTGGCATGTCCTGCTCAAGCAACAAAAGGATGGAATGGTCAGAACATGGCTGTCGGAGAGGAGTTCATTTTCCAAGTAACACATGTTTACAGACACAACAAGTTTCTCTCCATAAAAGGCAAACCAACAGATCAAGGGTAGGTTCATTAATACAAAAAAACACTTTATCTGAGAAAAAGAAATGCCTGTCCATCCTCTACCTTCTCAGTATCACAAAGGGGAAGCGATAGTAGAGTGGTTAAAGTGTTTCTTTATCAATAGTCCTCCATCAGGGTCTGGGGTTTGAGACCTACATGGGGTAGTCACAAGATGATGAACACAGGTGGATGGGGATTTTGTTGGGGGGAACTCCAACTTTCCTCCATCTCCTACACCTGGCACATCCTTAAATGACCCTGGCTGTAGGATGTAAAGCAATAGTAAACAAATAGATAATAAGTATTAAATATTATGTAGAACATTATTTATGCATATTTAAACTGTTTATAGTTGTAGAACCTTTATTCTTTATTCTTGAAAGGTAAAAGATGGATCTTCAAATTTCATATGAAATTTCCTCTTGGTCCCTTGATCAGAAAAAATCAAATAACTGACTGGCAGTCATCTAGGATTTTGACATTGAAAGATTGTTGTCACTGTTTCTTGAGAAGTACCAGATGGATATTTCTCAAATTTCCTTTGTATATTGCCTTGGTCCATAGTTGTACCTTTTTAGTTTTGGGACTGTGCTGACAGGCAGGCATCTTGGATTTTGACAATGAAAATTTCAGTGTATGTTCCCTTTTGTCCCTAGTTGTGCTCTTTAGATTTTGAAACTGATTAGATGAACCAAATGACTGTCAGGTGGCCATCTTGAATCTTGACTAAGAAAGTTTGTTAAAATTATTTTATGAGAAATATTGGACAGACATTTCTCAAGTTTTATATTTAGGTTTCCCTTGGTCCCAGGTTTATTCCATTCGATTTTGGGACTGATCAGAGAAATGAATGTGAAAAAGCTATCTTGGATTTTGACTAAGAAATAGTGTTATTTCTACAATGAATTTCTTGAAAAGGATGGATCTTTCTAAAATTGTACATGTAGGTTCCCCTTGGCCTCTAACTTGAGTCTGGTTTGATCAACAAAATGGCTGACAGGTGACCATCTTGGATTTTACACAGATTATTATAGCTATTTCTTGAAAGAAATATTAAAATTTCATAGAGTAAGGAGCAAGGAGAGGCAATGGACAATTTTGTTGTTGTAGAATTACTGGAATAATCTTCTTTCATGTGAAGGTTCACTTTTTTCAAACTGATTGAAGAAAAAATGGCTTACATACTGCCAACTACAGATTATCAGTATTTGTCAGAAAGATGAAGTGGACAAAATGCTGTATTCTCAAAGTTTCTCCTGTTAAATAATGTAATCACTTAATTCATTCATCCATCAGTACAAACAAATAATTACACCCAATATACATGTATCTCTATTGTACCTATATCTGTAGGAACTTGCATGTTTAATTGTACAATGTATAGTTTATTTGTAGAATTAATTATCTATGTGCTTGTATTCATATATGTATTTATAATATTGTAATCTTTGTATTTTTTATATGTATTTTACACTCTTTATTTGATTTGTAGAATCTTGGAAAGGTCAAGTAAGAAACGGACCTGGGATGAAGTGGACCATACTACTGAAGATACCGTGAACATGGAAACAGCAGATAGTCATGACAACACAGAGAAAAATGTTACCACTAAACATAAATCCAAGAAAAAGAAAAAGCATCGTGACAAGGGAGATAATCAGATGGATGAAGGTATAGATGTCTCCTCTCAACAATCTAGTGAGCACGAGATACCACTTTCTCACAAAAAACACAAAAAGAAGAAAAGCAAGAAAGAAAAGTCTTATTCCTCCAATGACAATGAGGCTGGTGAGAATGATCTTCTGACAAAGAGTCCCGACAGCAATTTACTCTTCAATGAGGATATTGTGGCCTCCACCAAAATGAATGGTACACTAGACATTTCTGGGGTGCATTTCTTAGAACAATCACCTTTAGGTAGCAGTACATGTAAAAAGAAGAAGAAAGACAAGAAGAGGTCTAGGAAGTCAGAACAAGATCCTGACAAACCATGTGAGGGCGCTGAGGAGTCCTCTAATATAGACATTTTAACAAGAAATGTATTGACAGTCGGAACTGAATTACCACAACCAGCGGTGACAGACAATGCTCAGCAAGCCTCCCCTTTGTTGTTTTCTAGCCAAGAAACTGTTAGTAAGAAACATAAAAAGTCCAAAAAACATAAAAAGAAGAAGGGTGATGATATCTAGCCTGTGTTATCTTAAAATTAGTTTTATTATCCAGAAATTTTCAGCTACTCTGTTACAAAGGGTCAAGTAAGTTTATGCCCTGGTGTAATATCTATTATCCTCTCTCACCTGTTACATGTAGGACTGCATGAAGAAGTGGATCTCTTTTGTTGCAGTTGTTAAGGAGGTAGAATCACATTGGAGGACTGATAGAAAAATACTATTGTTAAATAAATATTTTCATGGGGTTCAAGTTTAGTGATTTCACAAGGATTCCCTTTTCATGGACACATGATTTAATGGATGATTACCACTAAATTATCAAAATATTACCTACTTATACTTATGTTATAAGTTCATGGACATATGAATTCATGGATCAAAAGTACCGTTGTAATCAATGAAAATAAATCCTCACAAAAATTAATGATTTTTACAGAAATTAAGTGTTAAAATCCTGTTTCTTTAGTATGTACACTGGTAAAGGGTTTATACTAAGGTATAGAATATCTTTTTGTGAAAAGTCCAGGTTTAAGGAGGCCAAGACAGTAAACATTTAAATCCTTTACCAATGGGACCACTGAAGATATTGTCAATATGTTTTGGAGTCCAAGCTTCATGAAATAATGAGCAAATCAAGTTCCCTTGTATATCCTCAACAAAGATTTGCTTTTACAGATTGGAAAAGTTAAGAGATATAATATATTCATGCAACATAAACGTCACAGAATGTAATGTAGGCCCTTTGGGACTCTTGTTAATTGTTGTAACTGAATAAATGCTTTAATGAAATTGGTTATTGGTGTAATCTTTCTACAACAGTAATGTAAATTTAAAATTTCAATGGGAAAAACTCAAAACAATGTTATATGCTTTTTTATTTCTTCAGTTTTCCTTTGTTGCCTCCTAGGCTTCAAAAGTTTGACCTTTGGCATTGCTGATGAGTCCTAGAAGGACGAGACAACTGTATGATGCAATTCATTTGATAATTTTGCTTTACTGTATCTTACTCAAAACTATGAAAAAGTGCCATTAACTTGTTGACTTTTGTACATTCTCAGTCTATTCTAACTCTGACACTTCCTCAGTCTCTATCTTTTTCACCTCTAACACTTCCTCAGTCTCTATCTTTTTCACCTCTAACACTTCCTCAGTCTCAATCTTTTTCACCTCTGACACTTCCTCAGTCTCTATTCTTCCTCTGACACTTCCTCAGTCTCTATCTATTCTACCTCTGACACTTCCTCAGTCTCTATCTATTCTACCTCTGACACTTCCTCAGTCTCTATCTATTCTACCTCTGACACTTCCTCAGTCTCTATTCTACCTCTGACACTTCCTCAGTCTCAATCAATTCTACCTCTGACACTTCCTCAGTCTCTATCTATTCTACCTCTGACACTTCCTCAGTCTCTATCTATTCTACCTCTAACACTTCCTCAGTCTCAATCTTTTTCACCTCTAACACTTCCTCGGTCTCTCTATTCTACCTCTGACACTTCCTCAGTCTCTATCTATTCTACCTCTGACACTTCCTCAATCTCTATCTATTCTACCTCTGACACTTCCTCAATCTCTATCTATTCTACCTCTGACACTTCCTCAGTCTCTATCTATTCTACCTCTGACACTTCCTCAGTCTCTATCTATTCTTCCTCTGACACTTCCTCAGTCTCTCTACCTCTGACACTTCTATTCTACCTCTGACACTTCCTCAGTCTCTATCTATTCTCTCTCAGTCTCTATCTATTCTACCTCTGACACTTCCTCAGTCTCTATCTATTCTACCTCTGACACTTCCTCAGTCTCTTTATATTCTACCTCTGACACTTCCTCAGTCTCTATTCTTCCTCTGACACTTCCTCAGTCTCTATTCTTCCTCTGACACTTCCTCAGCCTCTATCTATTCTACCTCTGACACTTCCTCAGTCTCTATTCTACCTCTGACACTTCCTCAGTCTCTATCTATTCTACCTCTGACACTTCCTCAGTCTCTATCTATTCTACCTCTGACACTTCCTCAGTCTCTATCTATTCTACCTCTGACACTTCCTCAGTCTCTATCTATTCTACCTCTGACACTTCCTCAGTCTCTATCTATTCTACCTCTGACACTTCCTCAGTCTCTATCTATTCTACCTCTGACACTTCCTCAGTCTCTCTCTATTCTACCTCTGACACTTCCTCAGTCTCTATCTATTCTACCTCTGACACTTCCTCAGTCTCTATTCTACCTCTCACACTTCCTCAGTCTCTATTCTACCTCTGACACTTCCTCAATCTCTATCTATTCTACCTCTGACACTTCCTCAATCTCTGTCTATTCTACCTCTGACACTTCCTCAGTCTCTATCTATTCTACCTCTGACACTTCCTCAGTCTCTATCTATTCTACCTCTGACACTTCCTCAGTCTCTATCTATTCTACCTCTGACACTTCCTCAGTCTCTATCTATTCTACCTCTGACACTTCCTCAGTCTCTATCTATTCTACCTCTGACACTTCCTCAGTCTCTATCTCTCTCTGACACTTCCTATTCTACCTCTGACACTTCCTCAGTCTCTCTGACACTTCTATTCTACCTCTGACACTTCCTCAGTCTCTATCTATTCTACCTCTGACACTTCCTCAGTCTCTATCTATTCTACCTCTGACACTTCCTCAGTCTCTATCTATTCTACCTCTGACACTTCCTCAGTCTCTATCTATTCTACCTCTGACACTTCCTCAGTCTCTATTCTACCTCTGACACTTCCTCAGTCTCTATCTATTCTACCTCTGACACTTCCTCAATCTCTATTCTACCTCTGACACTTCCTCAGTCTCTATCTATTCTACCTCTGACACTTCCTCAGTCTCTATCTATTCTACCTCTGACACTTCCTCAGTCTCTATCTATTCTACCTCTGACACTTCCTCGGTCTCTTTCTATTCTACCTCTGACACTTCCTCAATCTCTCTCTATTCTTCCTCTGACACTTCCTCAGTCTCTATCTATTCTACCTCTGACACTTCCTCAGTCTCTATCTATTCTACCTCTGACACTTCCTCAGTCTCTATCTATTCTACCTCTGACACTTCCTCAGTCTCTATCTATTCTACCTCTGACACTTCCTCAGTCTCTATCTATTCTACCTCTGACACTTCCTCAGTCTCTATTCTACCTCTGACACTTCCTCAGTCTCTATCTATTCTACCTCTGACACTTCCTCAGTCTCTATCTATTCTACCTCTGACACTTCCTCAGTCTCTATCTATTCTACCTCTGACACTTCCTCAATCTCTATCTATTCTACCTCTGACACTTCCTCAGACACTTCCTCTCTATCTATTCTACCTCTGACACTTCCTCAGTCTCTATCTATTCTAACTCTGACACTTCCTCAGTCTCTATCTATTCTACCTCTGACACTTCCACAGTCTCTATCTATTCTACCTCTGACACTTCCTCAGTCTCTATCTATTCTACCTCTGACACTTCCTCAGTCTCTATCTATTCTACCTCTGACACTTCCTCAGTCTCTATCTATTCTACCTCTCACACTTCCTCAGTCTCTATCAGTCTCTATTCTACCTCTGACACTTCCTCAGTCTCTATCTATTCTACCTCTGACACTTCCTCAGTCTCTATCTATTCTACCTCTGACACTTCCTCAGTCTCTATCTATTCTACCTCTGACACTTCCTCAGTCTCTATCTATTCTACCTCTGACACTTCCTCAGTCTCTATCTATTCTACCTCTGACACTTCCTCAGTCTCTATCTATTCTACCTCTGACACTTCCTCAGTCTCTATCTATTCTACCTCTGACACTTCCTCAGTCTCTATCTATTCTACCTCTGACACTTCCTCAGTCTCTATCTATTCTACCTCTGACACTTCCTCAGTCTCTATCTATTCTACCTCTGACACTTCCTCAGTCTCTATCTATTCTACCTCTGACACTTCCTCAGTCTCTATCTATTCTAACTCTGACACTTCCTCAGTCTCTATCTATTCTACCTCTGACACTTCCTCAGTCTCTATCTATTCTCTGACACCTCTCTATTCTACCTCTGACACTTCCTCAGTCTCTATCTATTCTACCTCTGACACTTCCTCAGTCTCTATCTATTCTACCTCTGACACTTCCTCAGTCTCTATCTATTCTACCTCTGACACTTCCTCAGTCTCTATCTATTCTTCCTCTGACACTTCCTCAGTCTCTATTCTACCTCTGACACTTCCTCAGTCTCTATCTATTCTACCTCTGACACTTCCTCAGTCTCTATTCTACCTCTGACACTTCCTCAGTCTCTATTCTACCTCTGACACTTCCTCAGTCTCTATCTATTCTACCTCTGACACTTCCTCAGTCTCTGACACTTCTATTCTACCTCTGACACTTCCTCAATCTCTCTCTATTCTACCTCTGACACTTCCTCAGTCTCTCTATTCTACCTCTGACACTTCCTCAGTCTCTATCTATTCTACCTCTGACACTTCCTCAGTCTATCTATTCTACCTCTGACACTTCCTCAGTCTCTATTCTTCCTCTGCCACTTCCTCAGTCTCTTTATATTCTACCTCTGACACTTCCTCAGCCTCTATCTATTCTACCTCTGACACTTCCTCAATCTCTTTATATTCTACCTCTGACACTTCCTCAGACTCTATCTATTCTACCTCTGACACTTCCTCAGCCTCTATCTATTCTACCTCTGACACTTCCTCAGTCTCTATCTATTCTACCTCTGACACTTCCTCAGTCTCTATCTATTCTACCTCTGACACTTCCTCAGTCTCTATCTATTCTACCTCTGACACTTCCTCAGTCTCTATCTATTCTACCTCTGACACTTCCTCAGTCTCTTTATATTCTACCTCTGACACTTCCTCAGTCTCTATTCTTCCTCTGACACTTCCTCAGTCTCTATCTATTCTACCTCTGACACTTCCTCAGTCTCTATCTATTCTACCTCTGACACTTCCTCAGTCCTCAGTCTCTATCTATTCTACCTCTGACACTTCCTCAGTCTCTATCTATTCTACCTCTGACACTTCCTCAGTCTCTATCTATTCTACCTCTGACACTTCCTCAGTCTCTATTCTACCTCTGACACTTCCTCAGTCTCTATCTATTCTACCTCTGACACTTCCTTAGTCTATCTATTCTACCTCTGACACTTCCTCAGTCTATCTATTCTACCTCTGACACTTCCTCAGTCTATCTATTCTACCTCTGACACTTCCTCAGTCTCTATCTATTCTACCTCTGACACTTCCTCAGTCTCTATCTATTCTACCTCTGACACTTCCTCAGTCTCTATCTATTCTACCTCTGACACTTCCTCAGTCTCTATTCTACCTCTGACACTTCCTCAGTCTCTATCTATTCTACCTCTGACACTTCCTCAGTCTCTATCTATTCTACCTCTGACACTTCCTCAGTCTCTATCTATTCTACACTCCTGTCTCTTTCTATTCTACCTCTGACACTTCCTCAGTCTCTATCTATTCTACCTCTGACACTTCCTCAGTCTCTATCTATTCTAACTCTGACACTTCCTCAGTCTCTATCTATTCTACCTCTAACACTTCCTCAGTCTCTATTCTTACTCTGACACTTCCTCAATCTCTGTCTATTCTACCTCTGACACTTCCTCAGTCTCAATCAATTCTACCTCTAACACTTCCTAAGTCTCTATCTATTCTACCTCTGACACTTCCTCAGTCTCTATCTATTCTACCTCTGACACTTCCTCAGTCTCTATCTCTCTGACACTCTATTCTACCTCTGACACTTCCTCA